CCAGAACTACCCTCAGCAGTGTATTCTTCTGTGCTTGCTCATGGATAATGCTTCCAGATGTTCAAGCCAAATTTTCTCTTGTAGCTATTTTAAGCCTTTTATTCCTTGTCCTGACTATCGTGATATAGAAAATAATTTATATTTGTCTCTGTAGCTACTTTTTACAGTACCCCTCTTCCAATAGCAAACCACTACTATCTTTTTTCCCTTTTTCTTCTTTATTCAAATGTAGATGTTGCCCCTCCCTTGACAATTAAAGTCAAAATACTTTTAAAACATTCTTCAAAAGTAACTGATTAAAGCAAACCTTTAATCGCTTACTTTTTCTTAATTTTCATGTGATGCTCTTGTGGTCTGAAGACCATCTAGCAATACCTCCTTTATTTTTCAGAAGGTATTTCTCTGACCTTTGTAGAAAAAGACTGTCACTGCTTTTGGTGATGACAAGGTGCCTTTCAACATAAAAATGTAAACTACACCTGGTGTTTTAGTTTTCTTGTGCCAAAATAGGTATATAAAAAAGCTATTTCATCATCTTTTATTGGATGACATTTAATTTAATACATTTAATTTAATACATTTAATACGTTGTGACTTACCTTCCAAAATATTTTCCTTCTCTCTTTCTTTTTTGGTCTTCTCTTCTGTATCTTAATACAGAAGGGAGATACGAGATCGCTTGCCATCACTGGTGGTTGTTTATTCTCTGAAAGAAAGACCAAGCATGGAGTTCTGTATAAGGCTTCTCCCTGGCTTGCTGCTTTGACAGGGGAAGCCTGTTTTCTCTGGGGGATTCTACAGCAATCCTAGATAGAAAGCCTGTCTTTGCATCCAAGGCCATTATTGAAAAATCCTCAGTATTTATTCTCGCAAGACCATAGTCTGATATTTAAAAGAATTATTACCATGTTCAACCAGATCTGGACTACAAATCACCCTAGCAGTTGTGTGATCGTGCATTGCTCCAGCAACATGGTGAAATATGTGAGTCACTGAAGAAAAATTACATGTTTTTTTTTTTCCTCTGAAAACAGATAAGTTAACTTCTTTGGAACACTGAATTTAATATATTGGGTCACATCTGCTAAAAGATTATTACACTGGAAGGAGGCAATGGATAATTTATTAAAATACCCCTGCGGGGAGAGAGCAGGCTATCTGGTTAATATAGAGGAATGCTGGATGGTTACACTGAACGCTCCCTGGTGAATCCTCTAACGTAGGAGTAGAATGGGGAATGAAGATGATTGCTCGTTATAGAATGTTTGCTGTGTTATATTGGTGCCCAGCAGCTGAATAATATTTATGTTAACAGCTCCTTTCCAGCTTCTCATATTGATCTCCTGCTGGGTTAGAGCTGATACGTAATTGTACTGAAAATGGGAAGATAATACTTTCTTGTGTTTGGAGGGTGGTGAAAAGGTTCTTCCAACACATCACCAAAGTCAGATATGAGGGGAAAGATGTCTCATATCTTTGTACCACAGACTTGTAAGATTTTAATTCCCTTTTTCTTCTGAGCTGTTTCTGTCTCATCTCCTTGCAAATTCAAAGGGATTGTGGCAACAGCATCCCACGGGCAGTAAGAGTTTCTTGGTGGGTGGGATCCCATTGCCTTGAAGGAACCTTGCTATTGCTGCGCTTACAAGTTTGAGAAGGACCAAATTACTACATCTTTCCATGAATACAGAAAGTTAGAAAGCTGACAAATACCTGCCCTCGCTTCCTGAATGCTCAGTTTCTGTGTAACTGGCCAGTCATTATTTTAATTCATGTAATAGGAACTGCAAATTGACATTATAGTTGACATCATTTCGTATATGTATGGCCTCCTACATATAAAGAACAGGAACAAACTGAATGTTTGGTGGTGATGTCCAGCTAGAAGCTCCCCAGATCATGTACCCAGAAGAACTGATGTGCCTCAGTTTTCCTGCTAACAACAAATGACAGTTTCACGGAGCAGCTGTGAGCTCAACCAACCTAAAAAGTCCTCAGGGACGTTTGCTTTATTGGCTCCTTGGGCTGATGCGTCTGGGTTCATCCAAAACTACTGCTGAGCGTGCCAGGCCTTAGAAATAGTAATGGTTTCTTGAAAAAACGAGCTGGCATATTTTCAGGAATAAAATTGAAGAAATCACAAAATGCAACAAACCTTTTGCACAGATTGTTCCATGGATTACGAATTGTTCTTTCCAGGCCCAGAAACTTCTCTTCCTACTTGTTTAGTCACTGTGGACTCAAGGTCTGAGGTGGACGGATCCTTGCTGTCATGATGAGAGCTGGTTCTATGAGTTCTGCCAGATGCAAGGGTTGTGAACAGTTGGAACAAAGCCAGCGCTGTGCTCTTTAATCATTGTCATCCTTAACAGCATGAAAATGCAGGAAAAACATCACTTTCCTATAAAGTGGTTAATATTAAAGTTAAGACATAGCAAGGCTGGAATTGGCCGAGGATTTAAATGCATTTCTAATAAAATATTTATGAGCAATGAAAAAAAGACATGAAAACCATCTATATTATTATCTTAAAAAATAAATAAATACAGCAAAGCATCTCTTTTGTCATTTTGGTTCCATAATTACTGCATTGTTTAAGTGCATTATTGTGTGCTTGAGTATAAATACTTGATTTAAAGTCACAGGGTGCAATGAAGCCCTGAAGTATTTAGGGGAACAAAACCAATATATTAAAGTATGCTATTTGGTGGTTTATCCTGAAAAAAGAATAAACTCCTGTATGCCAGGCAGTTTTTTCCTTCTTACCTTCTTGGTAGCTAATGCCTTGGAAAATCACAGTCACTTCTGTTATAAGAAGAATCAACAGGGATATAATAATCCTAATGCACTGCTTCTTTAGTACCTTTCTTTTTATAGATCTCAAGACATTTTTAATATTTAAAGCTCCATATGACCTTTGTGAATAAGTAAATGGATTTTAGTAGGATAGCTTCAATCCTGCTTAAACTCTGTTTCCCCCCTACACCTGATAAGCAATGGCATCTCTTTGACTGTGCGTTGCAATGTTACAGAGTTCTTTATAAAGCTCATGTAAGAAAAACTCTCTCCGTGCAGAGCTGAGTTCAGTGTTGAACATGACAGTAAAAGAAAGAATCAAAGGTGGTCAGGTGGGTTTTTTTTGTTTTATCTCCTACAAAGCAGCTCAGATGCATGAGATCCTCTAATGCATGGATGGGGTTAGTGTTAGTTAAATGTTAACCAAGGCTTTCGTCTTTGAGGTTTAGCACAGGCCAAGTGATTTGTCTGCCTAAAGCTCGGTGTAGTATCAGAGGCTCAGAGACGAAGTATTTAAAGAATCATGAGAGCAGTTTCCAGCAGCATGTGGTGGCTTTTGTCATCCCTGAAGGGTGCATCTCAGGGCTTGGGAAGCAGAATAAAACATAGAATCATAGAACTGCCTGGGTTGGAAGGGACCTTTAAGATCATCTAGTCTGACCATCAGCCTAACTGATAAAACATTACTAAACCATGTCACTAAGCACTATCTCTACCCATCCTTTAAATACCTCCAGGGATGATGCCTCAACCACTTCCCTGGGCAGCCTGTTCCGATGCTTAATAACCCTTTCAGTGAAGAATTTGTTTCCTAATATCCAATCTGAACCTCCCCTGGCACAACTTGAGGCCATTTCCTCTTGTCCTATTGTCTGTGACTTGGGAGAAGAGACCAACCCCTGTCTGTTGACACCCTCCTTTCAGGTATTTGTAGAGAGTGAGAAGGTCTCCCTTCAGCCTCCTTTTCTCCAGGCTGAACGACCCCAGCTCCCTCAGCCTCTCCCCACAAGACTTACTCTCCAGACCCCCCACCAGCTCTGTTGCCCTTCTCTGGACCATGACAGTTACAGTAAATGATGAGTTACAGTACCTTGTAGTGGTTATCCAAAGTACATGCTCCAGTATTGCAGCAATCCTGTGATGTTAAGCTGTAGAGTGTTTGGGTTTAGCTTTACGCATAACAGATACAGCATTCCATTTAAACTTCTACAAACAAAATAATTTTTCTTCTTTTCATGCTATTAATGTCTTATTGTCCATAGAGGGGGAGAAAGAGCAATGCATAATTTAAGCAAAAATAGATGCTGCTAATTACAGATATACATATCTAGTAGTTACTTGTGTCAGCCAATGCACATTCCCCTTACTTGTGTCAGAAAAGGGTTGGTTTGTTTTTAATTAAATGCAAAAGTGAAGTTTGGCTATAGCAAACATGGAGAAAAACAGTTATCCACTGCCATATCCTTCAGTAGTGTATTTGCATTTTTTAAATATCTAGTATACTTAACGCAACCACATAGACATTGTTTATATGCAGTAAATAGTGGTTTAAATTGACACAGTTGACTTCAATTTGTTTCAAACACAATTTACTTCACACAATTTCCTTCAAGGCTCGTTTGTTACTTACGTCTGCTACTGTGTGATAGCTTGATAAGCTGTGAAAACTTGATCCATTAAAGAGGTCTTGATCAGTGTTAAACCTTTTTTCAGCAGGAAGTTGGATTTACATGAGTTTTTAAGTCCCTCTAACCCTGAGTAACTATGATTTCTGTGAACTCTTTTAATTGTTTTAGACAGAGAAGCAGGCATATAGAAAAACTTTAGAAATTATTAGCATGGTCCAGTAATGATATTTTTCATAATATCATATAAATGTGGAAAAATAACAGTTTTTTCCTATTCTATGTTAATTGAACCATTTGGAAAAAAAAAAAAATCCTTGACTATATGAGGTGAAAATCTTTATAAAAAACTTGACTGTGAAGTTATTCAGTTTTGAATGACCGGAGGTTGCTTTTTGATACTGGATTTTGTGGTTGTAATAAATAAGAAATCGATATCTTTTCAGTGTATTTTGAAATTCCCTTATTTGAAAGTCATACACTTTACCAGCACAGTACTAGTCTCTAGTTAAAGGTTGCTCCAAACAATTGCAGTGAAATACAAAATAATGAACTGTGTGTTTTTGAAATCTCTTCCAGCTAAAAAGAAGAAAAAGCCAAAGCTCTTAAACAAGTTTGATAAGACCATTAAAGCTGAACTAGATGCTGCAGAAAAATTACGTAAAAAAGTAAGTTTTGAACGTTTCCTGCAGGGCTGTAAATAGTGGGGGAAAATGAATACAATAAAAATTAACTTAGAAAAAGGGAAAATTACTTTTTGATTGCTTTCTGTGAAATTAACTTTTTAAAATTAAATATTGAATGCATGTTTGTCCTTCAAGTTTCATTTCTCTTGGATAGTTTATCTTAATTTTTTTAAAGTCATGAGTGTACATCTCTTCATGTGTGTTTGCTCACCTTTAACCTTGAAAAAGCTGCTTAAATTAATCACATGGAACAGGGTTAGATCTGTCCCATTGCTGTTGTCCATTTGAGTACAGAAGTCAACTATTATCAGAGAACTGAGATTGTGAGGATGTTAATGTGGATCTCTCTGTAAGTGTTCCCATGCTCCGTCAGAATTAGGTGCAAATCTTTTTGATGGGTATTTTTCCTGCTGAATTCCATGTGTGTCCTGTGAGTGTCTGCTCCCGTGCAGCTGCTTACAGCACGAAGCAGATGTTCCTGCTTCTCACTAGTGGCAGTGAGACCTTAACATCCATCAGTCAGTTCTGGTAGTTTTGAATTTCATAACTTGCCTGCAAAAAACAAAGAAAAAAGCCCCAACAAAACCCCAAAAACTCTTCACTCATCACCTCTGATAACTTCCAATTTTATTCTTTGATTTGAACGTTTCAGAAAACAAGACCTTTGCGGAGGTATCCCTTTTTCTGGATGTGAGATTAAATAGTGAAGCAAGACTAAGTGACTGTTAGAAATGAAAGACCCTAAGTCTTTTGGGTGTAAATCTGGTGAAAGCTCCAGTATGCCTCAGAGACAGTTCTAGCATATGGAGAACAACTGCAAGTCTTTGCTCTGCGCTGGATTTGAGAAGACTGAACAATCAGATACACCGTTTTCATTACCATAAAATAAAAACCATTTTAGTCACTGCAGGTGTGGGATTATTCTTGATTTTCAGAAGACTAACTGTGCAGATTTAGCTTCACATTGCCATCTGTGCAGCCCCAGAGTTCCTGCAGGTCTGTGGTGGGGCTGAAGAGCTACTACATAGACAGCACTAACCTCAAGCTGCCTCTGCTGCTGCTTTTCACTAGGAGCCCTGTTTGCATGTTAGAATACAAAAATAAAAAGCATTTTCATGCTTCTTGTTACTTAAACAATTGGTTGATCAGAGAAAGGCGTAAAAGAAACTTTTGGTGAGTCCATAGAGTTGGCCGACACTTTCCCTGGCTGTGTCTCTTGGTGAGTCACAGACCATCATGCTTGTCCTGTAGGAAGCAGGATAAATTTAGTAACAAATCAGACATATGTCATATTTGAAAATAGCGACACAGTCGTGTATGATAATCCCTCATATTTCAAAAGCTGTAAGAATTGGAAGTGGCAGCAGGGTCTGATGCCAAGTTTTGCTGAGCAGTGCTCAGCTCCTGTTTGACAGCGCAGCTGGTTCTTCTCAACTTCCATCCTTACTTGCTGGTCAGCATCAACCATGAGAATACCACAGTTGCGTTTGGACTTTGTATGGGACAGGGAAGAGACACAGAACATGTGGGAGGTGTCCTGAGGGGCATCATTATTCAAAAAACATTTGGAGGAAACAGTCATAAGCTATGGATGAGTCTCGTATTTCCCCTAGAAGAACCATAGTTATGATATTGCTGTTCACGTGAGGTATGCATAGAGAAAATTTCCAAGTATGTATAGAACTTGCTTTCCATTCTCTGTTACATTCAGTTTGGATTTTGTTATTACAAAATTTACATTTTGATATAGACAAGTTATGGTCATCTCAGCATTTTTTTCCAGTCAACAAAGGGAAAATGAGTAAAATAAATACAAAGTTAGTCATTTTAACCATAGAAAGTGGATAATATTGTTTCATAAATAATGGCAATGAATTTCTCTTAAATGAGCAGGCAATCCTTACAAAAATAAGAGTGAAAACTGTTGACTCAGTCTGCATGTTTTTTGTTGTTTTTTTTTTTTTGGTTTTAAATTGGGCAAGCTAATGTGTTATTAGGTCATGCATCCTTCAGCATTTTTATTCAATAGAATCACTGATAAATATCTCTGCCTTCCAGGGGAAAGTTGAAGAAGCTTTAAGGGCCTTTGAAGCACTAGTGAATCAATACCCACAGAGTCCTCGAGCAAGATATGGGAAAGCACAGGTACTAAAAAAAAACTATAAATGTTAAAAAAAATATAAACATTTCTTAACAGTAGAGTTCTAGGCCTCAGTCAGACTTCATTTATAATTTTATGGGTATTTCCTAAAGGAAAAAAGAATTATGTGATCTGTCATATTGTGTCTGTGTCAGGCCTTTCCTTTCAGGCCTATCCTTCCCCAGTTACTTTGGGAGCTTCTGTCTTTCTTTAGTAAACAACACAAGAACACAATTACAATTTTGTGTTATTAATAGCACAAAAATAAGACACATCCTGTAGGTGTTGTGAAAACTTTCAGGTGAACGGTAAGAGATAAATCCCAACTAATGCCCTCGTGCAGGAACAAAAGGCAGAACTTAGTTGTTACCTACTGTTTGCTGCAGCTGGTAAATCAACACGTCAGATGAGTCTGGGCTAAATGCTGCTCTTTGCTCGGTGGGAATAAGGAAAAGGATTTGGAGTTTTTAGAGAGAGAGTGTTAAAGCATAAAGAACTCATATTCATAGGCAAGGGTTAATTAGCATTTTCTTGTGGACTGAGTTCTGTTCCAGGTGTTCTCACCTCCCCCTAAAAAGAGAATAAGCTTTTGAGCTGTGTTGGGATATCTCAGAAGAGAATAATCCTTGTATTTTCATAAACAGCAGGATAATCCCACTGCACTAGATGTAATAAAAGACTGTTTGAACTCCTGTTAATCAAGATGAGCAAAGTGAAACCCTCACTGTAGCAGAGAATTGTGCTGTTATACAATTAAGGAGACACTTGGAGTCACAACCAGATTCATTTGGTGAAGAATAGTCATACTAAAACCAAAGCCATGATTATCCAAAAAACTATCATGCAACCACTTGATAGAGAGTAGGCCAAATACTCCAGTGCTGTGTGTGAGGGATAGTCTGCTGAAATATTTGCCTTCCTACAGTAGGACACTGCTTCAGTTCATACGTGTGATGGACTTAACTCTGTAAACTTACACTTTTAATATTTACCTTTTTAATGAATATACTCATATCTAAGAATATGCTTCCTGCCTCCCCACTGCTTATGGGGAGGAGGGCAGATGATTGAAGCCAGCTGTGAAGCTTGGTCTCATTCAAAAGTCCTCCCAGGGGCACAACTTCATTTGTCCCTTTACAACAATTTGTGGTTAAAACCTACAGCTGCAATAATGCTTAAAAGGTCCTCCAGACCAAGACCTGAAGTTATAATTAGCATAGACTTTCTGGGGCTGTATAAAAAAACTTATAAATTCATTTTCATTTCCAGTAGCCTTTGTAGGCTGATACAAGTCTTTTTACTGAACACTTACATCAACCTGACCAATGACAATTTATTGGATCCAGTATGTCTAAATTGAAACTATTTGAAGGAATGGGGAAATCATGGGCTTCACAGACAGATGAATTATTCTTAGGACTTACATCGTAACACCATATTACTTTTAAATGGGTAGTTATACCAACACAACACATTCAAATTTGCTACCCCTCATCACTAACTAAAGTTAAAACTGCAGAGCAAAGTAAGGGCAAAGGCCAGGAACTCACCACAAGAGTTTACTTCTCCATTTCTATGAACCAACATTACATGTTCATTTTGTAGATTCAGTTTCTAATAAGACATGAGGATTCATTTTTCTGGATCTTTTAATAGCTTTAAAAGGCAACTGTTTTCCCCAAAATTCGGGAAAAGGTTTCATAACCAGAAGTGGTTTTCAGAAATTTGAGCGCTTCCTGATTTGATTTGTGGAACTACACTTAGGCCAGATGAAAAAAATCTTCTACAGAAATCATTAATGCCTTTAAGAGGCTGAAAAGACAAACAGATCTTAAACCTCTTTATATGATTTAGAGCATCTGTACTGATGAATTTATGCAGATTTTATGCCGACAATTTTTGCCTCTTGCCTATGTATCTTATAATATTCTTTGCCTTGCAATTCCAGTAACAACAAAAAAAAAAAAAAGCGAGTTGCCCAGTGAATGTACATCAGAAAAATAAATAATTTCTTCAAACTGATTTATGAAGTTGTCTCTGAAACCACCTAATCAGCTGTTTGACTGAGTATCCATATTGTTCGGTATTTCCCATATTGAGTTTCAAAGTTGCCTGAGGGAAGAAAAATAAAGGGCAGAATGCAAAAAGATTCCAGGTATTAACTACTTATTACAGCATATGCAATTAGCACAGTTGAAGCTGTTTCAACTAATGTGTGTGCTTGATAGAACAGCGAATTTAGATAGACCAGTAACACATAAAAACGCATGCATTTGTGTAAACAGTTCAAAGTAATACTTTAAAAATTTGAGATATAGTCTTATTTTTTTAAGCTATGGAAACAAATTATGTACATTCAATACCACAAGTGAAATTAGTAGTAATTTTCATTGGCTTCACTGTAATTTCACAGTAGAGGTCTCAGACATACATCCTTTGGTCTGCTCCAGAATTTAATGAAGAAATTTAAGTTCTGAAAGAGTTGTAGGGTATATGTGCTATCAACATAGGCAAGAGTAAAGCCAATCCCTGATTAGTTTCCCAAGAATCCAAATAAATTTGTGTCAGAATATGTGAAAGAATGTTTCTTGGTGTGTTTTGATCTGTGTGTTGCTGCCAGTGTGAGGCTTAGTATACAGATAGTCTGTGGGCAACAATTTATGTTTCTTCCATATTAATAAAACCGATTCCTTCATTTATTTTCAAAAGCAGAAATTATAACTTCTACAAATGCTAACCAAAAATCTGTGTTAATGCATGTTTAAGGTGCAGACTTTCCCATGCTTTCAAAAAGTTTGCAGGAAACAAGAATTAATGGTAATTCTAATCTGCCTTACCATAAAGCACAACCAAATAAGTTATCCATAGTTATGCCACAATTATATAGGTTAAAGATAATTCTAAATTTTTTCCCATAATCTAACAAAAGTATAATTTGCCTTTTAAGAAAACAGAAGTATTTTTAAGACTACTGGATTACTATGTGTTCTGATAATTGTTATGTGCTTCTTTCTAGTCTGAAGATGACTTGGCTGAGAAAATGAGAAGTAATGAGATGCTGCAAAAAGCCATCAACACCTATGATGAGGTGGTTAGTCTGCCAAATGTCCCTTCAGATCTGATAAAGCTGAGTTTGAAACGAGAAGCAGACAGGCAGCAGTTTCTTGGTAAGAGTTGAGGGTGGTGTAAAAATTTTGGAAGTTGTGGGAGCAGATCACTAAGGATTTAAAAGCACCAATTCCATTCACTTTTCAATTAGTGTTCCTAATCTCTGTAATGCTTTTAGAAAAACATTTTCAAATTCTTTAAAATTTTTCTAGGGAACTAGTGTATATAATTGCTTGTATGATAATACTGCCAGGTGCTATGAGAAGCTATGATGGGAAGTGGGCAAAAAAATTTTATTGACAGAGAAAGAAGAAAATGTTCATCTTTTTCTACTGAAGCTGAGGGAAATTGTGAGGAAATTAATGGCACACACAGAGGAAACATCCTCAGAATATACTTTCTGTAAACATAGAGAAGGATGGAATTGAACTCGGGGATAACATCTGGAAGTTTAGATCTCAATTCTGTGATGTGTGAGAAGTGCTGATTAGAATGTGAGGCACAGTCAACTTTGGAGAAAAGAGTTCTGTTCCCATGGGTTGGATTTTAATATCAACTTGTTTTGATCTTGCTGTTCCTCTGGAAGAGCTCATCTAGGAAGCCGAGGAACGTACTTCATTTTAAGCACGTGAAGCATGATTAATTTTGTAGTGGAAACGTAGTGAAGCTATTACTTAACACTAGAAACATGTTTAATTACATAATCAATTAAGACTAAGTTTATTTTGATATGTTTGCCTAGTTTTTTTGAGCACTTCTGACATCTGGGCGTGAAAGAGCAACCAAAGCTTAAATAATGTTATTATTGCTACACTGTGAAGGGTTCTCCACTAGAGGCTCCCATAACACCGCGGGATGTGCGTTGGCAGTGATTTCCTGAAATATTCCTTGCAGGGCTACACCTCCGGTGGCAACCAAGCAGCTCAATATACTCCGATCTGCACAACTTTTTTCAAGTTCTGCTTCTTGATCATTAGTGGAAGTGGAACACCTGGCTCTGATTTATGTTTTCTTAGATGTTGTGTTTTCTTAGATGTTGTGTACTGTTACTCGTATCTGTAGTTATAATTAAGTCTTGTTCCACCAAATTAGGTCGCATGAGAGGTTCCCTGATTACTCTACAGAAATTAGTTCAGCTGTTTCCCGATGATACTTCATTCAAGAATGACCTTGGTGTTGGTTACCTCTTGATAGGAGATAACAGCAATGCCAAGAAAGTATATGAAGAGGTGAGCTTCCATTCCAGTCAAGGGAAAAAGTTATTTGCATTCATATGTTTGTTCTAAAGACTGCCTGCTTTTAAATTTTTTAGTTGTTAAACATTTCAGATGTCTGGTTTTGATGGGTTAGTATAGATACGGTTTTTTTCTGGTGCAGTTCTTAATTATCGTCTAATTTTAATTCAGCTTCCTTATACTGACAGGCTAAATGTTTTTCTTCATAGAGAGAGAAATGCAGGGTTTTTTTCTTTATATGCTTGATAATACTTGATTTCATACACCCTCTGGTAGCCAGTTTTGGAATATATTGACAACTCATATAGATCTAATGCGTAGCATAAAAAAAAAGATATCCTACCTGCAAGATGCTGAAAGCAGAAGTAAGCCTGTTTCTTTACAGGTGCACCACCTCTAACCCTGTGATAAAGTAGTTCAATACTCATCATAGCTATTTAACCTTTGCTTTTTGATTATTTTTGTAAGCAGCCTATATTCTGTTTTTTCTTTCATGATACTTGTAGTGTGGGCAGTTCATTATGTTGCTGTCATATATGGTAATCAAGGTGGGGAAAGTTCACTGCCAGGAAGGGCTGCTCTGCTCCTGTGATCTAGAAACCCTGTTAACATAGAATCATAGAGTGGTTTGAGTTGGAAGGGACCTTAAAGATCATCTAGTTCAAACATCTGGAAGCTCTGACAGATGTGGAGCTTGACGTCACTGGTGGAGCACAAGCTGTCAGCACCCGATCGGAGATGGTCTTGTTGATGTTGGCCCAGGTGTCACAGTGCTTGTTTAGTACAGGCACAGTGTAGTAATCAGCTGGTTGTGTAGCCTGAGGACAAGTCAGCATGACTGGTACCACCTCCTGAGAGTAAAGGCCCTGTTTTTCTTCCCCCACATCTGGGAGTCTGAGGGGATTCTTATCTTGGGTGGTTTCTCAAAGAGAAGGAGGACGTTCAACCACATGGTTGGAAGCAAGATCTGAACCCTGATAATACTACTTTTTTTTTTTTTTCTTTTTCTCTTTTTTTCTCCAGCTCCTCTGGTAGTCTCAGATGTTTCCAGAGTAATGTTTGCTTTGCTACTTTGGCTACATTCTAGGTCCCTCCATAAAACATTTCTGTTGAATAATTTTTGGCCTGCTGTCAAATTTCTCAGAGGATTGGAAACATCAGCTTTTAAAGATAGAATATATTAACCAAACCTGCTTCACAAGCTGCAAGGAATTTGAAAAAAAAACCAACCAAAATTTTTCAAGTATTTTGCCGCAAACAATATAGATGCTACCATTTCTTAATATCAGTGATCACAGGATTTTTTAGAAATTAAAGAAGGTAATGAGTTTGCTATATAATTGCTTTGATACTGAGTTTGATACACTTCAGAAGAAGTGTATACTGCTCTGATTAAGAATAGATATGCAAAATGAGAACTGGTCTACTCTTAATATATTGTTTTCCATGCTTCCGTAGACTTTATCCAGTGTAATTACTCTGTTTTGCAGTTCACTAACCACGAAATAGAATAGATAATAGTGATGTTCTGTCCTTGTAAAAGAACACCAAATAAATAAGTTTTAAAAGGAGTTGGATTTATTCTTTTTAAAAATTGTGGGGTTTGTCCATATTCTGGCTCCTTCTGGCTTCCTCAGGCTGAATTCCAACAGAGTAATGTAATTTTTTTTTCCTTTGTTGTAATTCAGGATCAATTTACATGAAGAATTTTAAAAAGGGAAACATAGCCAAAGAAACAGGGAGAAGCTCGTGTGTACATGATTTAATTCTTGGTTATACTGAAGGCTTCTTACATGATTTTGGGTAGATCGTGTAAGGGGCCATATGCTCTGCTCTTGAGTGCTTTGCTCAGCTGTTGCAATGCATATTTAGGAAGTGGTTGCCATATGGTTTGGAGCTCCTACCACTGGTGCTCAAGCTCTGTGCATAGGCAATGAAGAGAGGGGCAAACTGTGAAGAGTGGTTTTGAGGGCCTCCAGGAGACGTCTTCCTCTTCCCATGATTTTTGAAAAACCTGGGAAACTTCTGTAGGGTCATTAAGTCCTCCTTCTCACTAATGATAGAAAAACATAAGAGAGCACAGACAAGAGAGCATGAACTCAGTGCTGTACAGTAGATGCACCCAGTATTTATGAATCCTGGGTCTACTTCCCACTGTAAGGAAGTTTATACATCTTTATTCAAGTGCTCTTTAATGCAGAAGGCATGGACATCTAGGAAGAGAGAGCAGAGCTCAAGGTGCATCCTCAAGAGAACATACTCCTTGTTTGGCTAAAGGCTATGCTTTCTGCTCATTCCCCTCTGGTCCCATTCTTTTCTTTGTGGTTGTCTAAATTCTTGTGTATGTGGTACTTGTTTCTGCTCCTCTGGAGAATTCCCAAGTAGTTGAACACCCTTCTGTGCAGGAGAATCTAGACTCCAAATTTCCCACTTCCTGGGAATCTGCTAGATTCTTCGGCAAAAGGTACTGGTGTCCTACCTTGATTCCTGCTGTAACATTGAGATCTTAGCCCCGTGTTACCAGTTTGTGTTAAGCACGGGCTGAGCACATACAACAAGCCAGACCCTTCACAGGCACTTCCCCTACCCTGGGATTGCAACATACACCATTTCAGACCAGTCTAACTGTAGCTGGCATCATCTCCAAGGAACTGAGTAGATGCCCAAGGAATCCTGGTGAATGAAAACTTTTTTCTTTACCTCTAGTATCCAGTTTACTTATTTTCTATTAAATTCTTGTCTTCTTTGTATAACCAGATTTAAAAATCAGGAACCAATCAAAATTGTTTTAAAATTGTTTTCCCCAAATTTGTTATCTCTTAGCAGCTGTTGAAGTGTTATATTCAAAAGTTGTGAATGTGATATGTTCCTTCTTTTAGCTACAGAAGCAACGTGTATAAACATTGAACTTCAGCTTGAGAGAGTTTTGTACGAACAGCTGTAGTGTGATATAGTTTAACTGATACAAAATACACTTTTCTATTATGCATTAACCAGACCATGTGCTGAACCACGAATGGAAAACACTGTCCAATTGGAGAGGATTTCAGTTTTGCCTAATATTAAACTATTTTCTATTTAAAATTATCTTTAGGGACATGGAAACATAACATTAAAGTAGTCCTAGTAGAATTCAGAGCTATTTTTATTTTCAAAGAAAACATAATGTTAAAAGTACTCCTGGTAGATTTTAGAGCTATTTTTGTTTTCAGAGATCTAGGGATTATGATGAATTCGGTGGAAGAGAACCTTATAAGACCAGTTACTCTGCTAATTGCACTTTTTCTGCCTGCCATGCTGAGGCATGTCTGCATGGCTCAGTGCAATGTTAGATAGACACGCACAGGCCAGCTCTGATTGAGCTATCTGAGGTACCAAAAGCAGAATATCCACATTAACACAGTACTCTGCCCTGGCTAATTAGCCATTGATAGCCCCAGAGGTTAATTTCTATGTTCGTGATTAATATTTAATGGGCTATGAGCAGTTTAGTAAAACTTATTTCTAAACATAATTAATATTGCATGCAGCAACAGCAACAGAGTAATACAATTTACATTAAATACTTCCAGTGTAATTTCTGCTGATTGTATCTCTTCACTTCTCTTTAGGGGCTCTGAATGTAGATCAAGCCTTAATGCAACTCGGCATTGTTTAAATGAACTGTAATACAGAAAATTCTATTCTGTCTTAATTAATCAGGTAGCTTTATCCTATAGTTAACGGGACTGTAACGAAATTATATAGCTAATAAATATTTCTGTCAGTCATTTTATTTTACCCTGTAGCTACAGATTCTTGGACCAAAATGGTTTTATACACAGAACGCTGTGGCCAAAAGGCATAAGATGCATAAGGTGGTGGCAAATTCTTATACTTGGGATCAAGCTCACCCTTATTATGAATTTCCATGTTCACTTTTTGCTAATAACGTGCCATATTACAAACTTCTGATAGATTCTCAGATTGATTGTTCCTTCAGAGTAGCTCTTTTCTGCAAAAAGAAGTGAAGTGCAGCTATTTTTAACTCATAAGATTTTATACTCATGTTGTGCCGGTTTTGGTTTTGCTTGGGTGTATTCTGTATGCAGTAAGGTTTCAGAAAGCAGAGCAATTGGCCCCCAGGACTTGTTAGGGGTTTCTTGTAATTATTTTGATTGAAAAATTAGGTTAGACACTGACTGGAAAAGGCAGAGGGAAAGGGTTATAATGTACGCAGACATTTAATCCATGGCATAAGTTTAGTAGCTTCAAAAATGGATTTAGGCAAGAGAAATTGCTCATCCGTCCGTTGTTTTGTATTTGGCGGCTGCGCTAGATGTTCAGCAGGTATCAGCCCCTCTAGTCCCACTGACTGCCAGGCTCTTGTGATGATCCTCACAGGCTGAGGATCTGTCCTGATAAGACCGTCCACCCTTATTTTAAGGAGGGAAGAGGTGTAACAACAGATTAACTTGACCATGTAATTGATATCACATAGGGCTAAAAATGGTATATGCTTTCTGCTCATTCCCCTCTGGTCCCATTCTTTTCTTTGTGGTTGTCTAAATTCTTGTGTATGTGGTACTTGTTTCTGCTCCTCTGGAGAATTCCCAAGTAGTTGAACACCCTTCTGTGCAGGAGAATCTAGACTCCAAATTTCCCACTTCCTGGGAATCTGCTAGATTCTTCAGCAAAAGGTACTGGTGTCCTACCTTGATTCCTGCTGTAACATTGAGATCTTAGCCCCGTGTTACCAGTTTGTGTTAAGCACGGGCTGAGCACATACAACAAGCCAGACCCTTCACAGGCACTTCCCCTACCCTGGGATTGCAACATACACCATTTCAGACCAGTCTAACTGTAGCTGGCATCATCTCCAAGGAACTGAGTAGATGCCCAAGGAATCCTGGTGAATGAAAACTTTTTTCTTTACCTCTAGTATCCAGTTTACTTATTTTCTATTAAATTCTTGTCTTCTTTGTATAACCAGATTTAAAAATCAGGAACCAATCAAAATTGTTTTAAAATTGTTTTCCCCAAATTTGTTATCTCTTAGCAGCTGTTGAAGTGTTATATTCAAAAGTTGTGAATGTGATATGTTCCTTCTTTTAGCTACAGAAGCAACGTGTATAAACATTGAACTTCAGCTTGAGAGAGTTTTGTACGAACAGCTGTAGTGTGATATAGTTTAACTGATACAAAATACACTTTTCTATTATGCATTAACCAGACCATGTGCTGAACCACGAATGGAAAACACTGTCCAATTGGAGAGGATTTCAGTTTTGCCTAATATTAAACTATTTTCTATTTAAAATTATCTTTAGGGACATGGAAACATAACATTAAAGTAGTCCTAGTAGAATTCAGAGCTATTTTTATTTTCAAAGAAAACATAATGTTAAAAGTACTCCTGGTAGATTTTAGAGCTATTTTTGTTTTCAGAGATCTAGGGATTATGATGAATTCGGTGGAAGAGAACCTTATAAGACCAGTTACTCTGCTAATTGCACTTTTTCTGCCTGCCATGCTGAGGCATGTCTGCATGGCTCAGTGCAATGTTAGATAGACACGCACAGGCCAGCTCTGATTGAGCTATCTGAGGTACCAAAAGCAGAATATCCACATTAACACAGTACTCTGCCCTGGCTAATTAGCCATTGATAGCCCCAGAGGTTAATTTCTATGTTCGTGATTAATATTTAATGGGCTATGAGCAGTTTAGTAAAACTTATTTCTAAACATAATTAATATTGCATGCAGCAACAGCAACAGAGTAATACAATTTACATTAAATACTTCCAGTGTAATTTCTGCTGATTGTATCTCTTCACTTCTCTTTAGGGGCTCTGAATGTAGATCAAGCCTTAATGCAACTCGGCATTGTTTAAATGAACTGTAATACAGAAAATTCTATTCTGTCTTAATTAATCAGGTAGCTTTATCCTATAGTTAACGGGACTGTAACGAAATTATATAGCTAATAAATATTTCTGTCAGTCATTTTATTTTACCCTGTAGCTACAGATTCTTGGACCAAAATGGTTTTATACACAGAACGCTGTGGCCAAAAGGCATAAGATGCATAAGGTGGTGGCAAATTCTTATACTTGGGATCAAGCTCACCCTTATTATGAATTTCCATGTTCACTTTTTGCTAATAACGTGCCATATTACAAACTTCTGATAGATTCTCAGATTGATTGTTCCTTCAGAGTAGCTCTTTTCTGCAAAAAGAAGTGAAGTGCAGCTATTTTTAACTCATAAGATTTTATACTCATGTTGTGCCGGTTTTGGTTTTGCTTGGGTGTATTCTGTATGCAGTAAGGTTTGAGAAAGCAGAGCAATTGGCCCCCAGGACTTGTTATGGTTTTCTTGTAATTATTTTGATTGAAAAATTAGGTTAGACACTGACTGGAAAAGGCAGAGGGAAAGGGTTATAATGTACGCAGACATTTAATCCATGGCATAAGTTTAGTAGCTTCAAAAATGGATTTAGGCAAGAGAAATTGCTCATCCGTCCGTTGTTTTGTATTTGGCGGCTGCGCTAGATGTTCAGCAGGTATCAGCCCCTCTAGTCCCACTGACTGCCAGGCTCTTGTGATGATCCTCACAGACTAAGGATCTGGCCTGGTAAGACCGTCCACCCATATTTTAAGGAGGGAAGAGGTGTAACAACTGATTAACTTGACCGTGTAATTGATATCACATAGGGCTAAAAATGGTATTAAATATATACATCATAGATATGTGAAGCTGGAAAGTAGATCAAGGCTTCTCTAATTTTCCCCTTGGCTGAGGCAGACCAAAAGCACTTAAATTATCTCAGTAACGTTGGGGGTATATGTTTCAGAACTCAGGCCAGCCAGTTTCGCACCTTCTTTCCCTGAAGTACTCCCCCGTAGGACTGCCAGGCTCTTGTGATGATCCTCACAGGCTGAGGATCTGTCCTGATAAGACCGTCCACCCTTATTTTAAGGAGGGAAGAGGTGTAACAACAGATTAACTTGACCATGTAATTGATATCACATAGGGCTAAAAATGATATTAAATATATACATCATAGATATGTGAAGCTGGAAAGTAGATCAAGGCTTCTCTAATTTTCCCCTTGGCTGAGGCAGACCAAAAGCACTTAAATTATCTCAGTAACGTTGGGGGTATATGTTTCAGAACTCAGGCCAGCCAGTTTCGCACCTTCTTTCCCTGAAGTACTCCCCCGTAGGCTGATCCTTCCCCACAGCTGTCCCTGTCCTCACAAATCTTTCTCTTTTGCAGTGCTCATGAAGTATCCATCTCCAGATATTTGCTGATGGTTTTTTGTTTTCTGCAAATTAAGTCAAGTTAATGAAGTATCCATCTCCAGATATTTGCTGATCGTTTTTTGTTTTCTGCAAAATTAACTCAGACATTATCTGCAAAGCAGCTCTGCAGCTGCAGCTCTGCAGCTCTGTGGAGAGACACCTCGGAGTCCTGGTGAACAACAAGTTGACCATGAGGCAGCAATGTGCCCTTGTGGCCAAGAAGGCCTGGGGTGCGTTAGAATGCCCTTGTGGCCAAGAAGGCCTGGGGTGCATTAGAAAGAGTGTGGCCAGTAGGCCGAGGGAGGTCATCCTCCCCCTCTATTCTGCCCTGGTGAGGCCACATCTGGAGTATGACATCCAGTTCTGGCCTCCCCAGTTCAGGAAAGTGGGGGAGCTACTGGAAAGAGCCCAGTGGAGGCTACAGAAAGGATTAAGGGTCTGGAGCATCTGTGTGATGAGAAAAGGCTGAAAGACCTGAGTCTGTTTAGCCTGGAGAAGATCCAGAGAGGATCTCATCAATGCTTATAAATATCTAAAGGGCAGGTGTCAAGAGGATGGAGTCAGGCTCTTCTCAGTGGTGCCTGATGAAGGGACAAGGGGCAATGGGCAAAAACTGGAAAACAGGAAATTCTGTGTCAACATGAGGTGAAACTTCTTTACTTTGAGGGTGGCAAAGCCCTGGGACAGGCTGCCCAGAGAGGTGGTGGAGTCTTTTTCTCTGGAGATATTAAAAAAACCACCTGGACACATTCATGTCCCACCTGCTCTGGGTGACCCTGCTCTGGCAGGGAGTTAGACTAGATGATCTCTGAAGGTCCCTTCCAACACCTACAACTCTGTGTGATTCTGTGTATGAATCCTGCTCAGGACACAAAATCATTTAGTTTAATTCAGCACGCTAGGTCTTGGTCTTGGGCAAAGAGTGCAGCACACAACTATACGGGAAAAATTGATCCTTAACCTTCTAGTGTGAAAGCAAAATGCCTCAGACCTTGCATTACCATCTGGTGGCTTTCTCTTGGCCAAGTGTGAGCTCTCCAGAGAGTTCACTGTAGTGCCAAGAATGCCCTTTGTGTTCCCCGGGTCTGCACAGTCCCATTATGGGATGCAGGCATTATTTTATAGCTTTTCTCTCAATTGCTCTTGCTGTGCTTCGCAGAGCAGTCTATTTTCTCTTACCAAAACTAGTTTGCCACCAGTATAAACCTATCTAACTTGGAACTATTTCAGATATATTTCTACACTCCGCTTCCCGTGGCTGTGCTGTGGACTTGTTCAAAAGCAGCTCCTTTACTTTAGATTAGTCAAAGCTGGGATATGTAATTCAAGTGGTAATGAATGGTGTTAATTCTGTAACGTAGCATGTCGTAACTCAATGGAGAGGGTGAAGAAAGACAGACAGACAGACACACACACACACAAAAAAATGCAATGCAGAGATTCCAATTGGAATAATTTCACTTCTGAGACTTTAAAGTTTGGCTTGTAATAAGTTTTTTGCTGGAGAAGCACAAAAGTGAATGGGGAAAAGAAAGAACGCCCAAGCCAATAATTTATCTGAGAGTCAGCAATGGAAGAAAATGTCATTGCATCTCTAAATGGTAGTATGTGCACAGGTTTGTTAATTTGCACAGATCCCAACATGCATATTTAATTCATTTGCTCTCCAACAGGTTCTGAGCCTGGCTCCAAATGATGGCTTTGCCAAAGTACATTATGGCTTCATCCTGAAGGCAGAAAACAAGATAGCAGAAAGCATACCCTATCTAAAGGTATTTTTCTTTTCTCACCTACAGTAAATATTTTGCCTGTAAAAAATAGAACTGGAATGTATAAAACATGTCAAGGTAGAAGCACACTAATCACAAATCACAGTTTAAGCTCCGTGTTGCAGCAATTCTGCTGTATCACTCTCTATGAGCTGGAACAAGCTTGTACGTTGAAACTCATCAATTCTTCACCATCAAGTACTTGTGGTTAACCCTAGGTACAAAGATGTGAGTCTCAAGTTGTTTTGTGTTTGGCAGTAGGCTGCAAACGTAAGGTTCTTGAAAAATCCAGAGAGGGTTTGCCTAGACTTCTGAGTGCTTGGGAAGAAACACCACAAAGTAAAACCTTAATCCAACTTTAGAAGATGCTTGTGTGTATGTGTATGGGGTCAGGGGCAAACGTCCACCAATACACCTCTGTCTTGGAGGGACCGAGGAGAGAGGCCGTGACATCTGGAAAACTGATAACATTTCTCAATGTCTTTTTACTGAACTGTTGTATTTGTTCAACCTAATTTCCGGGTTACCATGGTGGTTATATTTTATAGCCAATGTCATAGCCTGTCTCTTGCGTAGAATTTGCAGCCTATTTACAGCAATCAAATGAACTCTTTTAAAAGTCCCATTGAAATTTCTCTTATACTTTTTTGTTGTTGGTTTGTTGTTGTTGTTTTTTTAGGAAGGACTGGAGTCTGGCGACCCTGGCACAGATGATGGACGCTTTTATTTTCATCTGGGTGATGCCTTGCAGAGAATGGGAGACAAAGAGGTACACATTTAACATGGTCTTGCTTTGAAGTCTAAACCTCTGATAGAATACAGAATCCAGAAAAACTTTTAAGCATGGGCTCAATGTTGGACACATGAGTAGTCCTATTGCAATAACAACCCATCACATGTGTGTAGAGGTCAAGATGCGCAACAGCAAAAAATCAACTATTGTGGCAATACCATCTCTTGGCATCCCTTGCTCTAGAACTAACCTAACCTTTTGAAGCTTGCATGGGGTATTTTGAACTGAGAGACTAAATGTTTTTCAAAAATTTGCTGAAGGTTGTTTTAGAGTCTGTTTTCTGCTCCTACCACTTATAACAAAGATTTTAGCTGAAGTTTTGAAAAGACGATTACATGTATAACACTGTATACAAGTTCTCTCATAGCTCTGATGTAAGTGTTCTGTAAACCTCCCTTCTTTTCAAAGTGACCTTGAGCACCAGTGAGTGAGTATGTGATGAAAGAAGACCATGGGAGGACTGAATATGTGGGCTGAGTTATGGTATTTGTTCAATAATTAAAGTAGCAAAAAACTCAGAAAAGCAGAGATTTGTGCAACATATCAAATGTACACCCAACAAAAGCAAATATATGTGACTGCAAACCATAAGAGTTACCAATCTGTTTATATAAAACCAAATATAATATAAAAGCCAAATTTAAATTTGTGAATTAACACTATTGCCATGGTAGGGGAGCAAAGGGCTTTTGTTGAAGACTGTTATTAGTAGTAGACTTTACAATGGACATGAATCTAAAAACAAACAAAAAACAAGCCAAAAAACCCTACTCAGGTTCCTGGATGGGAAATGTGAAAAGAATAAGCATTTCAAAAAAGCATAGTGAAACTCCTTTTTAATTGGTTATATAGTAATACGACTGAAATATTGATACCTAAAATGCTGTAAATAATGCTGACCTCTTGAGTATCTTGGTCCAGTCATTAGACAGTTCTCCCATGTGACCCATAGATGGGTGAACTAAAATGAAGCCCGTGTTAGTGATCTTTCTGAAGACTAGTTCATCAAATTAATTTTCTTTTTTTTTATAAATCTACTATATCTATACTAAATCTATAAATAAATTTACTACAGTACCTTATATTTACCTTGAACTGTAATAATATCTATATTTTTTAAGATTGCCTCCTCGGAAAGTACAATAAAATATTCTTCCAGCGAAGTTTTTTGAATGTAAAAGTTCATTTACAAGTGAGAATTAGTTGGCCTCTTTCTATACATAAACACACACACGTGTGCATGTGCACACATGTATGGGCACACACTGTCTCTCTGTCTGAGACTGTCCTTCTCTCAAGAGAAAACCAAAAAGGAAATCCCTGTATGCTTCCATGGGATATTCTGGGTTGAAAGTTTGAGCCTAGAGCATCCCATTACAATGTTTGACTGAAGATACCACACAGGTGTAATTAACATACATCATCCCGACCCCCAGGATAATTGTGTGTTAATGTTTACGGAGTTAACAGTCAAATCTGCTGTAGAAAAAGTTTTAATCAATGACAAATGAACTTCTTGGCATAGAGGAGACTTTTCAATTTATCAGTGAAAAGTCCACTGCTAAGCTAAATTTTTCTCACTGACCTTGCTAGACTTGCTGAACCTCAAGATTTAATCAAGGAAACAGATCAATATTTAAAGAACATGTGAAATTACTATCACTGAAGGTTTGTTGAAGGTAGATATTCATCTATTAGAGCTAAATTAGGAATTATGAATGTGGTCTTGGTAAGCATTAGGGAAACAGTGTAGAGTATGCCCTTTCCAACTATAATTTGATAAAATGCCAAATTGACTTAAAAGAAAAGATAAATTAGAATTGTGGAAGGTATTATAGAACAAAGTGCAGTTGCCACAGAATGGGGAAATTCCAGAACTTTCCTGGAAAAGAAGCTATACTGTTGTAGGTGTCCTGAACAGTACAGTGGTCATTATTTAGTCTTTCCACAGCCCAGATCTGCATGCGAAAGGAAAGGTTGGAAACTGGAAACTGGAAACTCAAGACTGGAAAGGATGAGTGAGGCAACCTAACCTACTCCGTGCTATCAAAGGCAATCTCACAGCCCAACTCCTCTAATAGATAAGGATTAACAGTATTATACAGCGTGATTACAGCTGATGTATCTTAAAGAGCAGCAACATTCATATTCATCAGTCGGTGGCTGAAACAAGTAATTCATCCTCCTTACCACTTGGGCTAACTCCAGGCATTGCAAATGAGTGCAGGCAGTCAGCATGAACAATCTATTGACGTCCTGCTGCCCTTACCATTTACACCTGGGGGAACTTAACGTTATAAATCGAAATGCTTCCATTTCACAGACGTAGCCAAGATAACATCAAAATTTAAAGATATACTATGTATTACTCAAAGGTAATACATAATTCTATTTTTTTTTTTTAACCCACGCACAATTTTACAAAGCTTCTTTAGAGGAAAAAAGATGAAAGCTTACATATGGCCTGCTGTTATTCTGCTCATTCACACTGATTTTTCTGGAGTTCAGACAGATACTGTAGGGCAACATTCTATTATGGCCTTTCCTCCAAGAGAGTTATAAAGATGAGTACCACATTTTTTAAAAGATTGCAGAAGATTTACAGACTTTCAAAAAATGATCTATGGCTATAATATAGAGACTTATGAAAAAATGGGAAGACAAAACCACCCAACGTAATTTCTTACCTTATATCTGAAATAAAAGATCTCTAAGATGACACCTAGACATAATCCATTACATGAATTTCCAAAGGCTTTTTGTTTTCTTGACTGACTGGCTGCTAAGGGTAGGTAAGTCTTAGTAAGTCACACACTGTTCTCATGGCTTATTTGTACCCAAAAAAGTTTTGTTTTCCCTTCTAGTTTAGTGGCTGACATCAACTGGTCTCCTAGAGATGTGTTTATTTGATTGTATGTTTCTCTTTCCATTAGACCCTGTACATAAAATGATTATTCTTTTGCTTCAGGGTTTCTACTGTGGGTTTTGTCTCAGCAAGTCTTTTGGTTCAGCCTTCGTGTCAAACGAGGGCAGATTAACGGACAGCTGTCATATCCTCGTGAGTTAGAACAGGAGAAATGACTCTTTGAAAAACAAATATCAATTAAAATAGTTAGTCACGCAGGGAAACTACCGTACCAGATTGCTACTGGGGACAGTGTTCATCTTTTCCAGATGTTGTGGTTTAACCCGGCCAGCAACTAAGCACCACGCAGCCACTTGCTCACTGCCCTCTTCCTGTGGTGGGATGGGGGAGGGAGACCATCTTTTCCAGATGTTGTGGTTTAACCCGGTCAGCAACTAAGCACCACGCGGCCACTCGCTCACTGCCCTCTTCCCGTGGAGTAAAAGTGACAAAACTCATGGGTTGAGATAAAGACAGTTTAATAGGTAGGACAAAACACGTGCACACATGCAAAGAAAAACAAGGAGTTCATCACTACTTCCCACCAGCAGGCAGGTGTTTAGGGCCATCTCCAGGAAAGCCTACCGCCTAATAATAGTTTGGGAAGCCTAATGCCATCACTCCGAATGTCCCCCTCTTCCTCCTTCTTGCCCTTGTTTTTATTGCTGAGCACGAAGTCATAGTATATGGAATATCCCTTTGCTCAGTTGGGCTCAGGTGCCCTGGCTGGGTCCCCTCCCAGCTTTTGGTGCACCCCCAGCCCACCCACTGGTGGGATGGTGTGAGGACCAGAAAAGGCCTTGACTCTGTGTAAGCCCTGCTCAGCAGTGAACATACATCCCTGTGCTATCAACACTGTTTCCAGCACTAATCCTAAAGATAGCCCCAGATTAACTCTGCCCCAGCCAAAACCAGCATGCCGGATTCTCTGTACTCGTGCTAGAAAGAAAAGTGGAGGGTTTCTTTTTTGGGGGGAGAACTTGGGTGTTTTATGTAGAGTGAGATAAGAATACATATTAGGTTGGGTGAAGGAGCATGAGAACAAATTTGGATGAGTGGCGCTTAGGCAGAGGCAAATTGGACAGTTTGCAGGCTTAGGAGGGAGCAAATTTCAAGTGGTGTAGGTAGAGAAGGGACTCTGTGCATGACTCCAAGTAAAGAGGTTTTTGGATGGTTTCTGTTCAAGGCAGGGATTGCTGCCTGCTTCAGTCCCTCTGCTCTGGTGCTCTGGACTTCTTACCTCGGATCTCCCTACTTAGGTTTTTTTTGTCTTTTTTTTTTTTTTGATGTGTGTATTGTCTAAAAATACTGTAGCTGTAGCAGCAATGCTGGACAGGAGGACAGGAAGGAGGCAGCTGTATGTAGCCTTCTCTGTGTACGGTTCATCACAGCCCTACTTATGCTGGATGATTTATTTCCAAGTATCCCAATTTCTTCCTTTGCAGGACCTTGTTTTGCTGTCATACAAGGTAAAAGAAGTTGTGGAAAGTGACAGTAAGACAAGCAAAGGTCCAGTATTAACCTCAGTAGTTTTCTACCACGTGGTCAGTTCTGGTGTGGCAACAAATATTTGAAGAAACTCAAGTGCATGTATGTGTTAGATAACTAAGTAACAATTTAGCTCCACAAAGTCAGCACTGTTTTCCTCGTCACAGCATCTCCACTGGCAGCAGAAGGCAGTCATCCTTAATTCATAGGTAGAGAATTGAAGCGTAGAGAAAACAAGGTTGACCAAGATGGCAGACAATTAGATCTCCCAAGTCCGAGGACAGCGCCTAGATTACTGACCCATATTTGGTGTAGATGGTTGTGAGAAGATTATCCTATTTTGCAAATGTTGGATTGGACAGCATTGGCAGACTGATCTATTTTGGGGTTGTTTGTTGGCTTTTTTTGGCTGTTTGGTTTTTTTTCCTTAAAGCGTTCTTTTCTACATTGCATTAGAAGAATAACCCCAGCGTCCAAAGAGACAGTCCGTTACCTTACCAAAAAAGCGTCTCACCTTTTTTTTTGTGGGAGTTTGGCTGATACGAATTTTGTTGTTAACAACTGCAATCTTTTAGGCATACAAGTGGTATGAACTTGGATACCAGAGAGGTCACTTTGCATCAGTTTGGCAGCGCTCCCTCTACAACGTTAAGGGACTGAAAGCTCAGCCTTGGTGGACAGCGAGGGAAACTGGTTATACGGAACTGGTGAAGGTAAGGCAGTTTGTTTCTGCATGCTTTGATTTCATTTTTTTTAAAATAAAAACTATAATCTAAAGTGAGAATAGCAACTATAATCTAAGCAGAGAAAATGCTAATTTATGTGTTCTAAATCACTGCCTGTGAGTACCAGACACCAGTCTCAGACTGAACACGGAGTTTAACAAACATACTATAAAATTAGCCCAGGCATTTTCAAAACTGAGAATGGGGACAGAATGGCTGAACTGTATTAATTGTAATTAATTTATTAATAACGTATTAATAAATACAAAGTTTGTATGGTAGACAACCATAACATCTCAAGTGCTAGAAGGACAGCAAGCTCTGGTAGCATTTGGAACACCACCATTGTGAATTTTTAATGAGTGAGGAAAGGCTGTGTCTTTCATCCCTTGTGTAATATTTGGTGACTTCTTTGGAAGCATTTAATTGCATAAGACAGATGAGTAGATTCCCAGTGGTGGATTTAACAAGAAATAAAAACATAAAATTTAACTTCTCTAAAGTTCTTTTTTGGTTTAATGCAAGGCAAGTAGTCTGGTTACTATTCATAATAGTAGTTTGTGTTTCCAAAATTGCATATTTTTTATTATTATAATTTTAATCATAATTCTTAAGGGAAAAAAAAAATTTAAATGGGGGAATAACCTTTTATTTCCTGTATGTTTTAATTATTGGGATGTGGTTTAGCAAAATTATTCTGCACAAATAATTTAAAACCATAAATGTTTATTTGCAAGAGACATATTCCTTCAGAGCAGTTGTTTCATTGTACTTAGTTACATAACATGATAAAATGCCTACTGTGAAACTTTGATTTTATTTAAAAAAAAAAAAAAAAGAAAGAAAGAAATTTAAAAAGGGAAGGTTATTCCTTGTTATGCTTTTGATGGCAGAATAAATAATGCTAGGAAATTTAAATTAAAGTGTGATTCTCCGGTGTAATCTCAGTCACACAAAAAAAAAAACAAACCCAATTAGCTTTATGGACTAGCATTTGGGAAGATTTCAAATGTGCATGTATTGAACTCATTCTTGAGGAATGTGCAGGAATAGATACTCCCTGCCATAAAGGAGGTGGAGAAGCTGAGAACTTGTTCTCATACTTTTGCTAAATGAAAAAGAAAGAATATATATTATTTTGTTGATGTGTTAGAGCTATCTGCAATGATGTTTTACAGTCTCTTACATGTAAACCATTCAAATTCCTGAGTCACAGAAGGTAATGGTCCCTTCACCCTTGGCGTGAGGAGACAAGTCAGCTTTGAATGAATTCAGAAATAATTCCGTTTCCTGTTATTAAATGGCCAGGACTCCATCCTGAAGGGATTTTTTTCAGATAGATCAGACCACATATAGAGGTCTTGGTTTGGATCAGCATCCTGCGTGGCTCCTAGAAGAGCCATTCAGGAGCCCAACAAGGGTAGGAGTTCACCCCTGACCTCCGCAGCCCAACTGCCTCTCTGAAATCCACTCATACTTCTTCAATACAGTAATTTCGTGGAGTATTTTTTAGCTATTTTACTAGCAATATGTCATTGAATTCAGACTAAATTCTGGCTGCTGACTTAGATACTGTAATTTGGGGGTGGTAAGATTTGCATTATTCAAGATAATGTTTACAGTTGAAAGTATAAACTTCAATATAATAATAAATACAAGTTAAATGCATGAGGAAAAATATTTGTATTTCCTCCATAACTCAAGAAAGTACTTGAAGTTTTGAAAGGAAGCAGGCTTGATTCTAATAACATACCACACTGCAAGCAAAATTTGAAGTAGTATTCTCCAGAAAGTGGCAAAAAATCATTGAAGACATTGGTATTGTTAATTTCTGAAAAATTTCAACTTCTGTACATGTTTTAGCAGAAAAAAAAAAACCACAAAACATTATTTCCCTGTTTTACAGAGCAAAAAAAACAATCAGCAGTTATTTCTTATTGCTTCATCTCATTACGTTCCTCTTACATCTGTGCAGGATGTGTGGGAAATGCTCTCAAATCACAGTGGTGGAGTTGGACATGGAAAGCTGCTGTATGAAGGGCAAAGCACTGGAGGCCCTGACTGTCTCTCCCTATGTTTCACCGCTTGTTGTTAAATGTGAACAAGCTATTTTTCAGTATTTTGGTAGCCTAACAATGCTGACGGAGGATTTATTTGTGGCTGGTGGAGACAGACTAGCAGCTCTTTTTGGTTCATTCTACTAACCAGCACAGCTGTGGTCAGGAGCATCTTATAGCACAGACCTGGTTTGATTTTGTTATAAAGGTTAATGTGATTTCTTGGGACTAGAGATGGAGATGTGAGTTTTGACAGTGCTTTGCTTTTTCCACAGAAAACCTGAAGCAAACATAGTCTTTTTTGTTGGTATTCACAGTTTAATAAATTCCTTCTGAGGGGCATTCAGCTCACCTAACTGTAGCCATACAGGCACGAGGCATATTGTCCTAGTTGACAGGTCAAAGAAGAGGTATTTTCAGAGGATGATTAATTTTCTCTATGTTAAATAACTATCTAAGGCTGGCATGTCTCCCTTTCTGGTGTTAACTTTCCTGCTGCTTTACTAAAAAAAAGAAGCCTAGACCTTTTAGGCCTGATGTTTAACTACCTGATGGGTGAGATTAAACACAATCTTCTACTTTATTTTTTTTGCTATTACTTACTTGCCTGCATGTCTTAAGGAAGAGATGACTTTTAGTTTCTTAAAAAAAAAAGGAAAAAAAAGAATGAGAGCATCTAAATAACATTTGTTATGGTGGTAAATCATGGTTAGTGTTACCGTGCCAAGGGGAAGTGGATCTTTGCATCTCTTTAGCTGCTGCCTGCTAATGCTAAAGTTTTTTGTAGTTTCTTTGAAAGACCAAGAAGGGCCAGTTTAAGCCATTAAATTAGGTAGAGTGTGTCAAGTGACTTACGTAGAAATGTTCTGTTCATTTTCCTGCTCTACAGTATTTCAGGCCTTTGGATCTGGAGATCCAAGAAACCCTTTCTTTCTTGTTAGAACTCCTCTAAAAGGAAACACGTTCTCCTCCCTTGCGGCAATTTTAGCTTTTCATGGACAGTCTCACTGAGTCATTGCATCATTCTCTGGTACCTTTTGTAGAACCTCAGTGTGGCATTTTTTTTTCTATTCTGGTGCTGGTTTATAAAAATACTGAGAGGTACAATGCTATTGGATCCTGGAGACTTCATCAGTCTGAAAGTAATACATCAGTAATGACCTCGGTGCCTTTGTCCTTTCCTCACGTTGTGTCTGCTGACTTTTGGAAAGGACCCAGAGGATGCTTTGGCAATGATGTACTACAGTAAATAGCTGACTGATTAAAGTAGATCTTGTATTGTTGGATTTTTTTTTCTGATGGCTTAGATTTTATTAATTAAGAGTTTAAAGTGCAGCAAGAAAAGCACAGAGAGAGAGTGAAAGTACTGGCAACAGCACATATCCATAATGTTTTTTGAAGAGTGACAGCTAGGGCTTAATGGTTTAGCTAATAATAGCTAAACATTCATATTTAGGGGAGAAATTAAATTGAAATATGCATTTAAAGTGTGGTTGGATGCTTTAAGGGGAGCCTTGTGCTGAAAAGAGCAGAGATGATGTGTATGCAATGCTGATGTTCAAGCACTGCGGGTGACCGAATGGGTGCAAGGAATCTATTTTGGACAGTACAAATATTGCCCCTTACTTTGAAGGTCATCAGCGCTGCCCAGCAGAGACACAATAACTGATCATGAATACTCTCCTACTCTTTGTTCCCAGTTACAATGTGAAATATATTGTAATCCTCGCAGTGATTTTATTTTATAGTCAAATGGATTAAAATGGATGTGTGGTCAGTAGTTATAGAATCATAGAATGGTTTGGGTTGGAAAGGACCTCAAAGATCATCTAGTTCCAACCCCCCTGCCCTGGGCAGGGACACCTCCCACCAGACCAGGTTGCCCAAAGCCCCATCCAGCCTGGCCTTGAACCCCTCCAGGGATGGGGCAGCCACAGCTTCTCTGGGCAACCTGTTCCAGGGTCTCACCACCCTCATAGTAAAAAAATTCTTCCTGAGATCTAATCTGAATCTTTTTTCTTCCAGTTTAAAACTGTTTCCCCTTGTCCTATCATTACCCTTCCTGGCAAAGAGTCCCCCCCAAAGAGTTATGCCCCACGTGAGGGCTCGGGACCTTTTAATCTCTGCCTGTGTCACTTATGACCATGCACTGAAGTGGTTTGACTGCACAGTGTAAGGATTCTTTTAATGTAATAGTCACACATAAAAATAAACTGATATTAAGAAATCCCTATTTAAATATACTAACCTCTTTGCCAATAAAATCTACATTATTGCCAGATGTAAGGCAACTGTAAACTTCCATTATTGCTAGGAACTGTATTTAAAAAAACATATGGAGGTTTATGGGAATCAGCCTCTCAGAAACAAGTGCATATGCTCCCAGTGCTGTTTGCCTCCTGATTCTTCATTTGAAATCAGGATATTACCCCGATTATAATATGAATTTGTTGCTATAGCCTGAGGCTTGAATCCCTACGTATTATGGAGCATAAGCATACTTAACTTTTTTCTGTAGATACCAGCTCTTGGATCAAGAGCCTTAAGTCCGAGTCTTAGTCATTATGTTTTAATGGTGTTATGTGTTCTTACCCCTCAAGGTACGCCGAAAAGTCTGTAAAATCAGGGAGATCAAGGCTGAGCTGTGTTTGAACTCCCTTAACTCCCCGCTTCCTTTCTACCTGGGGGTTGCCTGTCACTCACAGTAAAGCACTGTCAGTGTCTTTTATAGATGGGGTCCAGGTTTTCAGGAGTACAGAGAGGCTATTGATTTCAGTGCAGGTTGCATCTAAAGCCATCGAGGCGGTGGTTCAAAATCAATGACAAGTATTCAGATCACTTGGTATCCAGCATGTTAGGGAAGGAATCTCAAAAGGCAAGGATAAACATGCACCTTTGGAGGTTAACTTTCAGCCCGTGGCACTTGTGAAGGTTTAGAGGTAACAAAGCAGCTGTTGCCTACAACTCCTTGGACCACCAGTGCTCTTCATGCATCATCTTTCTCCATGGGTCAATGCTCCTTCTTACCTTTATTCAGGATAGAGAGTATGAGTAGTTTGAAGAAACAGAGAAGCTCTTGAAATATCTTTTAAAGTTTTCCAGTTTTGTTGATTCGTATTGCTTTAGTTTGAGGTCTGTATTAAATGTAAGTTATTCTTTTCTTTCCAGTGCAAAATTAGGTACTCAGGCTGGTGTTTCCTTTTATAGATATGATAGCGCTGATTCGGTACGAGCACTGTGCCTGTATTCATCTCTCATCGGGTGGAAATTTTCAGCCTTCTTTTGTACCCTGAAGGGTAGATATAGACTAGACATGAGGAAGAAATTCTTTCCTGTGAGGGTGGTGAGGCACTGGAACAGGTTGCCCAGAGAAGAGTTGTGGATGCCCCATCCCTGGAGTTGTTCAAGGCCAGGCTGGATGGGGCTTTGAGCAACCTGGTCTAGTGGGAGGTGTCCCTGCCCACAGCAGGGGATTGGAACTCAATCATCTTTAAGGTCCCTTCCAACCCAAACCATTCTATGATTCGAAGATTTTTGAAAAAGCTGGTTTTCCAACAATATTCTAAGAAAATTTTCTACTTAATGTTAACTGTTAAATGATTGTTATGGAAACCCATCAGTGGGAGAGAATAAGGTGAATGCACCAGGAAAGATGATAATTGTATTTTCTACTTAATGTTAACTGTTAAATGATTGTTATGGAAACCCATCAGTGGGAGAGAATAAGGTGAATGCACCAGGAAAGATTATCTTCTCCTTTAGTATATGGACAAGAGAGAAAAAAAATTGCTAGGAAGAGGAGAGTGCTGTAGTAAGGGAAATGCAATCTTAATTTTCGTAGATCGTAGCCTACCAAAAAATCCTTTAGTATATGGACAAGAGAGAAAAAAATTTGCTAGGAAGAGGAGAGTGCTGTAGTAACGGAAATGCAATCTTAATTTTCATAGATCGTAAGTGTTCTAGTGGGAGAAAGCCACTAAATTATAGACAGCCTGTTCTAGCCACGGCTTGCTGAGCCTTTTGTGATATATCAATGTACAACCTATTTTGTGTGATCAGCTTGTCTTTTAATTGAAAAAATACAACTAGAAAATGCAACTGTTTAATTTAAAATGGGGAAGGCAAATAAGCATATGGAGTTTTAAGGCTAAAAAGGGGCAGCTATATCACCTGCTCTCACAGACTTTGGAGTTTTACTCAGCTTTACACATCATATAAAGAGTTAGCCTTTTTTTAGCATGAGATTGATTGAAAATGTCTTACAGAAATGCTTTGTTCAAGAGCACAAAGGAAAAATGAAAACTATTCACCCAAAATAAGATTTACTGAGTAAAGTAAGTGGCTGGGAAATGGAAGTTGCTTTTATCCTGGTCCATTGTTACGCTGTGGGTTTCTCGGTTATATTGCTATAACATTAGAATAACTTATTATTAGTAGAATAAAAGGGTTTCTATCTGATTTTTACAAATATAATGTCCTAAGGCGGCAGAGAACAGAATTTTTAATTCTACAATCTTGTGGGTTTGGTACGTATGAAGTACAAGCCAGCTTACACGTTTTTAATGGTTGTATCCATAAATCATCACCTGGCATTTCGAGTCGTTATTTGATCTTTTTCGATAACATCAGCCTGTGCAAGTGAATCTTTGCAAACCTTTTTGAAGGTTTAAATCATAACTGTCAGCTTAAATGGCCTGTTTACATTTGTACTCATTGAACTGTGATGTTGTGCCAATGCCTGGAGTTCCAGGTCATGCGGATGGTTTTCTAGTTGCAGGAGTGCTTCCAGGTAACCTGTGCTGCCTTTAAGAAGATCAATACAATTCCTTGCTTGCAATACAAAATGGTCTGTTAGGGAGCCCTTAGGCTAATCAAAAAGCAAGTCAAAGCAAGGCCTGTTCTGCAAAGAGGCTGGGGATTATTGAAATTTTATGATCCCAAAGAAATTGAATCTGAGGAACGCTGTGAAAATTGTTTTTCTTGCCATAACGTGAAAGAAGGGAATTGAATATAAAGAAACTTGATAATGATGATGAACACTTTTTTTAGTCCTTTTAAATTAAACAAAAAAAATTTTTTTAATAATGGTAAGGGAAAAATAGAAACAGTACTAAAGCCAAATGCAGGAAGTTCTCAGTGCAGTAACATGGCTCTCGCAACAGTCCTTAGAAAAAAATTGGAAGCTCATTCGTGATGAGGGTCTTGCTGTGATGGATAAAAAAAGAAACCTCTTCCTGCCTGAAGATGAGAATCTACGAGAAAAAGGAGACTGGAGCCAGTTTACCTTATGGCAACAAGGTAAAACACATTGTATTTCTTCTCTTTCCCCAAATTCACTTTCTCAGATTAATATAGTGTAATAAGGAGAAGTAACACAGTTTTTTCCAGAACTGTTTTTGTAATCGCTGGGTCTGCAGAAGAAGGGAGCTGGTAAAATAGTGTCTGGGGCCCCTCCAGCAGTGAATAAGGGTTCTTTATTCTACACCATGGTGTCCCAAAGCACTTCTAAGAATCCCTTGAGGGTAATGCTGCTCTTCTGGCACGGCTGCCAACATGTTGCATGGCAATGCTTAGTGCAGATCAGTCTGAGGGAAGACAGGACCATGGGAGAAGGCACATCCTTAATATTGTGTTGTCAGCGAGGTGAGATCTATCACTCAGAAATGGTATAAGCAAAAGATTATGAGCTTTGATAAGCCTGCTGCCCTGTCCCTGAGCTGTGCAGGGGGAGGCCCCATTATTGGAATGACCTTAAATCCTTATAAGACTCTGCATATGTAAAAGTACTGTAAAATAAAATATTGAAAGCAACTTAGATCAAAATATGATCTGGTGTTGAAATGGTATGATGTTGGTGGCATTTTTCATGGTTTTTTTTTCTGTGCAGCTTCATTAACGATTATACTAATAGAAACATGTTTGAAAATTGGTAGAAAGCCTGCTCTTCACAAATAATTTAAATGCAAAGATGTTGCAGGCTCCTCGGATATTACATTGTGTTAATAGTTCTGTTTCATAATCTGTAGAATGGGAATAATAATATTTACCTGTCTTTCAGTGCCAGCTCTTTGAAAGCTTTGTTGCTCTTCTGAAAAGCAGGAAACAAGGAAATGTTTGTTTGTTGCTCTTACCGATGTTCTATCCATTATTTTCACTAGGAAGAAAAAATGAGAATGCTTGTAAAAGTGTCCCAAAAACGTGTGCTTTATTGGAAAGATTCCCGGAAGCCACCGGCTGCAGAAGAGGGCAGGTACCTGGCAAATTTCTTCATTTTTACAAATTCCTGTGAGGATGTGAGGATCAAGTGGTTTTGAGGAATGTGTGTAGAGGGATACATGACCTAGGTATATTTAATATCTCGGGCACACAATGAAGTTAACAGTAAAAAATATGCCCAGTTTTAGCCCTCAGCAAATACAAGGTGAAATATGTTAGCGGAAGCCATTCCATGGACTCTTTAGTTGGGTTGTTTTACCTTGTGTTTCCTGGAAGCTCGTGGTAGGTAAGTAGTTATGTGCCATGGGTGGGTCAACCAATAAGTAATGACTTAATAAACCTCAGCCCTAAGTGGCCTGGTCTGACTCACAGCTAACCCTGCTTTGAGCAGGAGGTTGCATAGGTCCTTTCTTACCTGAATTTTTTTTTTTCTGGTCTGAACATAACTTTACAAGACTAATTCAGTGAGCCAGATTCTCACTGTGATAAATGTCATCGATCTACCCCAGTCTGGCTGCATTAGACAGAGAAGAATCACCTCATGGAAGCCAAACAACAGTGCTGCTGTCATGTGCTTCTTTCCTAAACGTAAAGGAAGGAGATTTTACATCCATGAGCTGTGGCTTGGGTACCTGGTCTACACTGATACTTGTCTACAAATTAACCTCATTAATTTGTAGTCCCCTTCTTTGGAGATTTTCAAGACCCGCCTGGATGCAGCCCTGAGTAACATGCTCTGACAAGCTCTAAGCAATCCTGCTTCAGCAGGGGAGTTGGACTAGATGATCTCTATGGTCCCTTCCAACTCTAAAAATTCAGTGAAATTCAGTGAAATCATGCAGTGGGCTTACATGGTATGGATCAATACATATGCAGCTGAATGAGTGGCCCAACACAGATATCATGTCGTTCTGCAGGGCAGAATTTTGCATTTTATTTTTCTTTCAAGTTACTGTATTTTATCTGTGTTGATGACATGAGAATAACCCTCATGTTGCAAAAATAAGGATACAAAAGCTGGAAAACACAGTGCTAACATACATAATCCTAATTCTGAGCCTTGCGAGCAGGCAGTCAGTTTTTTCTCCAGACTCTTGCTTTTGATGCACAGAAGCGAGCTAAGATGGCTACTGCTGTGGGAATGAACAAGGCTGTTGTTTCTTTGATGTGTTGCAAAGGCTGGTTGTAGTGAATGTAACTGATGAGAGAGGTCATCACACTCCGTGTGGCTAACAGCAAGAAAACTGCTTTCTGTGCCATCCATAGTCAAAATGGATCTATCCCAGAGAGCAAATTCTCTTTGAGAGCTACTATTTTGTTCACCATTTTTTGGCACCCTGCATGTTATCACCAGGATACGGTTTGCAGAAACATCGTATAATCACAGCTATAGCTATAGCCATTTGTTTTGAACATGTAAAACATAAAATAATCTGAAAAATGGTGCTTTAGAAATCTTAAGTTTTACATCCAGTATGAGGGGATGCCTAGGACAATTTTGGTCTTATGCTAGCCATGCCTCAGATTCCGACTGGTAAATTAAATTTAAAATATTACCTAATCTCTAGTCACGTACTGAAGCACTTGGAAGCAACAGGAACCAACACAATCAGGAAATCAGGAATTGTGTGGTAGACTGTTTGGATGCTTTGGGCACCTCGTGTATTGACAAAGATAGAAGTGTAAAATAATCAATTGCCTGCTCAGTCTGCAGAGAGACTATGTAGAACAATAGCAAGCCATCATATTATTAAAAATTATATCATTCTTCTTAAAAATAGCCATAAACTAAAAATAGCATAGGTAGTTTTTATTCTGGGCGTTTCTTAACTCTCTCGAGTTTTACATTACAACCATAGTATAACTCATTGGTAGTTCAGGACAATTTATATATAGCACATACATATAATTCACAGACATATCTAGACTGATCTGTGTGGACAGATAACATACACAACAGTAATCATTCCAAAACGCTGGTATGTTAGCATTTAAAATGTTTTTTCTCTGGGATATTATTAACTATCTTGCATAGTCAGTTGTTCATGTTGCATTAGGGTCTGACAAGGCAACCAAAATAACACATCTCAGTGTAGCAGGGATGGTGGATTGGAGCCTCTGTGTTCACCATGGCCACCGGAGCTCATCACTTGCTGTCATAAGAAACTGCTGGTCAGCTGGAACCTCAGATGGTGGGAATGGCTAAAGCATTAGGCACACACTGTCTTCTGCTGATTTTGTTACAGTTGGAGAGCAAGCAATACCTTAAACCTAAAGATTTATCAAAGCTACCCTCTCCCAGCCTGATTGATTCCTCAGTTGAAAAGACCCTTCTCACCACTCTCATGCGTTATTCACACTTCCCGTTCATTGCATTGCTGTAGAATCACAGAAAGGTTGAGGTGGGAATGGATATCTGGAGATTACCGAGTCCAACCCCTTGCTCAAAGTGTGATGAACCAGAGCAGGTTGCTCAGGACTGTGTCTAGCCAGGTTTTGAATGCCTCTGAGCACAGAGACTCAACGGTGTCTCTGGGCAACCTGTTCTAGTGTACAGCAAAAATTATTTTTTTTCTTATGTATAAGTGGAATTGCCTGTATTTCAAACTCTGTCCATTGCCTCTTTGCCTTTCACTGGATACCACTGAGAAGAACCTGCCCTCGTCTCCTTCACTCCTCCCATCAGGTATTTATATATGTTGATAAGATCCCCCCTGAGCCGCCTTTTCTCCAGGCTGAGCAGTCTCAGCTCTCTCCGCTTCCCCTTGTATGTCAGATGCTCCACTCCCTTAGTCACCTTTATAGCCCTTCACCAGCCTTGCTCCAGCATGTCCATGTCTTTCTCATAGTAGGTAGCACAAAACTGGACTCAGCACTTGAGACCAACTCTCAGTAGAGGGGAAGGGTCACATCCCTCAGCCTGCTGCCAAACATCTCTCTGATGCAGCCCTGGAGGCTGTTGGTCTTTGCTGCAAGGGCATGTCACTGGCTCATGTTCAAATTGTTGCCTATGAGGACACCATGGTCTTTTTCTAGGAGGCTGCTTTCCAGAAATTTGTCCACCAGCTTGTATTGGCACATGGGGTTATTCCTCCCCAGTGCAGAACTTTGCACATTGTTCAACATCTTAAGATTCCTGTTTGCTCCTTCCTCCAGCCTGCCAAGGTCCTTATGAATGGCAGTAAAAAAAGAATGTAGTGTATCATCCATTCCTCTCCATTTTTCTACCATCTGCAAACTTGCTGAGGGGCGTGGACTCTGTCCAATCATCTGACTCATTTGTGAAGCTATTAAACAATGTTGGACCCAGTACTGACACCTGAGGTACACATCTGATGAGTGACCTACAGCTGGACTTTGTGCCTTTGATCACAACTCTTTGAGCGTGGCTGAACTGCCAGTTTTCAATCCACCTCACTGTCGACTTACCTGGTTTCTATTTCATCAGTTTGTCAATGAGGATGTTTATGGCAGGGAGTGTTGAAAGTTTTACAAAAGTTGAGATAAACAATGCCCACTAACCTTCCCTCCTCCACCAAGCAAGACATCACCATAGAAAGCTGGTTAAGTAAAATTTCCTCTTCAGAAATCCATGCTGACTGCTCCCAGACACTTTTTCCTCCATGTGTTTGGAAATGGTGTCCAGGATTATTTGCTCCATCACCTTCCCAGGGCTGACTAGCCTATATATATGTATATATTTCATCCTCAGATCCTCCTCCTTGCCCTTCTTCAAGATAGGAACAACATTTGCTTTCTACCAGTCCTCGGGGATTTCTCTTGGTTGCTATGACCTTTCAAAGATTATTGGTGTGGATTCACAACATCATCCAGTTCTCTCAGCACTCATGAGTGGATCCCATCAGGACCCATGGACCAGTTTGTTGTCCCCTAACCCAATCCTTCTCCACTGAGGGCAAGTCATCTTTGCTTCAGTCTTTTCCACTGATCTCGGGTGCCTGGGATTCCTGAAGGTCACTTATACCAGTAAAGATTGAGGCAAAGAAGGCATGTAGTGCCTCAGCATTTTCCATGTCCTTTGTCATCGATCTCCTGCTACATTTAGCAGCAGGACATTTTCCCTAGACTTCCTTATACTGCTGATGTGTTTGTAGAAACATTTCTTATTACCCTTCACTTCCATCCTCAGATTCAACACCAGGAGAGCTTCGACTTTCCTAACCTCATCCCTGCATGCTCTGATAGTCTCCCTGGGTGACCTCACCCTGCTTCCACCTCTCATATACTTCCTTTTTGTGTTTCAATTTTGTCTGGGTCTTCATGCTTCCTGTACATGAGGATGAACCATTCTTGAGCTTGAACGGGGTGACCCTTGTAAATCAACCAGCCACGCTGGACCCCTCTTCTCTCCAGCCCTTTATCTCATGGGATTTTTTTCCCCAGAAGATCCCCAAATAAGTCAAAGTCTGCTCTCCTGAAGCTGTGGGTAGTAATCCTGCTTTTTGCCTTTCTCCCTCCTCTCATGATCCTGAACTCCACCATCACATGGTTGCTTCAGCCAAGGCTGACAGTGACCTTCACAACCCAGTTGTCATTTCAGAGGGGCCGATCAGTATGGCTAACGCAGGCCTTGTGTCTCCTGTGGTCCTCCCTTTAAATGATGAGTGTCTGTAAGTCTTTCCATAGGAAAGAAGGTATTTTTCTGATTGTAGAGAGCAGAGAATTATTTTCAGGTTGAAATATGAATACTGATTATTTTAAAATACACACTTTTACATATGCACACACACCCTACAAGGCATGTATTTTGTAATAATGAACGCCTTTAGGACATGAGAAATTACAATTGTTGCTGAGACTCTCACAAAAGGTGACATTGTACTTTTGGTCTGTCATCACGGATGAGATGTAATGGAGTCCTGAACTCCTAGCAGTATGGCTGTGAAGTGTTGAACGTGTTGAAGGCCTTTCTCTCTCTTCTTGCAGATCAAATATTCTATCATGCACCCAGGGACTCATGTCTGGCCCCACACAGGGCCCACCAACTGTCGGCTAAGGATGCATTTGGGCTTGGTGATACCTAAGGAAGGCTGCAGAATTCGGTGTGCCCAAGAGAACAGGTATGGTCTGAGTTTTTTGGCATTTTTTTTACACCTTCCTCACCTAAGGAGGGCTGCTGAATTGTGTGCACCCAAAAGAACAGCCATCGTTTGGTTTTTTTTGGGTTTTCTTCCACCTTCTTCTGAAGAGGCTGAATAGGAGGTGGGACTGCTGTAATAAAATAACATTTAAAAAAAAAAAAAGATAAAAAAAGAAAAAAAGGTGTTTTGCTGATCAGAAGGTATAATATATTTCATTAAACAGGTAATTTGCATCCTAACTCTCAGTACAAACATGTAAATATCATTTGTCAAACGATGCCAGAAGAATCTTGGGAGACAAAGCTGTTCTCTACTATAGCACGGAAATAACAGTGAGTTTAGTCCATGAAGTCTCTCTGTGTTTACTTTTGTAATGCCAATCTAATACATTTGCCAACAGAGTACCTCTATTTGTCTTTTGTTTTGATTTTTTTTTGTGTGTAGAATTCTTTGCTTATTCAGCAAAAGCTGAGACTAAGCTATTACCTCCATTTTAATCACTGTAATGGAATACTCCTGTATTCTGTTCCCACCACTGTGTGAACAAAGTGGTGGTTTTGATCTGCTGCCAAGAGAGAAGGTGTCTGCAGCTCACCAGCCATTATTATCAGGCTGGCACCTTTCTTAGTCATAACCTGAACAGAAGGTGATGTGGAAAATGAACTTAATGGCCTCCTCCTTGGTAGCAACACTCCCTCAAAGTCAAGAGTGGAGAAACGCCTGTTGCTGGTACACTGCAGACCCAGCACTTCAGTGTCCAGGCTCCCGAACCTGGCTCAGTCTTACCATAGAATCATAGAATGGTTTGGGTTGGAAGGGACCTTAAAGATCATCCAGTTCCAACCCCCCTGCCCTGGGCAGGGACACCTCCCACCAGACCAGGTTGCTCCAAGCCCCATCCAGCCTGGCCTTGAACCCCTCCAGGGATGGGGCAGCCGCAGCTTCTCTGGGCAACCTGTTCCAGTGCCTCACCACCCTCACAAGAAAGAATTTCTTCCTAATATCTAATCTAAATCTCCCCTCTTCCAGTTTAAAACCATTACCCCTCATCCTATGGCTCCACTCCCTGATCAAGAGTCCCTCCCCATCTCTTCTGGAGCCCCCTTTAGTTACCAGAAGGGGCTCTAAGGTCTCCCTGGAGCCTTCTCTTCTCAAGGCTGAACAACCTCAACTTTCTCAGTCCTTATGCATCTTCTCTTCTCCAGACTGAACAACTCCAACTTTCTCAGTCCTTATGCACTGGACTCACTCATTTGAAATGTAAAACATTCAAGAGCTGATTGCAGCCTCTGCTGGAATGTGTTAACTTGAGTTGCTTTTGGCAAGAGTGCTACATTCAGAGTCAAAGGCAGGATTTTCCCTGAAAACATCGAAAGTGTGTCTACTGATGGCAATGAAAGGGTGGGTTTTTTTACATCCCTTACCTCCTGAAAGGGGAGGTGGGTGAACTACTGTGGAAGGGAACAGTGCCAGGAGGAAATCCTACTTTGGGCATTTTCAGTGTCCCCCCTCCTGGTGGTTCAGAGCAGTGGTAAACTAATGCTTTCAAATAGGAGAGCTGGCTCTCAAATATCAAGGTTAGACCTTCATACAGGGTCAGGCCTCTTCTGGTCTCCTGTCCTACTGCTGTGTGTATGAGATAGAGGACAGAAATGATGAGAATTTTGTACCCACTTACCTCTATGCCACCCAGTGTGGGTGTTAAGAGGAACAATGTTATGGTGCAACTCGTCTTTTGATGGACATCAGCTCAGTCTATTACTGTGTTTCACTCCTTCACTTGCAGGAGTCTTTTTGCTGCTTCTGTGACCTGGTAGACCTTGTTAGTATTCTGTAAAGCTATGGTAATTTTAGGTCGTTGGGCTATTTTGAAGTCCCAGCTCTGTAAACTGTAGGGTGCAACACACAAAAATAGTAGGTAAATAATATCGAGTCATCAGAATTGAGCATCTCTGTCAAACAAGGTAATCGTGTTCTGAAATGAAGGTGGAGAATTACAGCCTTCTGCAGAAGCCAGTCCAAGGTCTCACCTGTAACAGGTGACACTAGAGCTGGGCAGGTGAGATAGAAACTACCCCAAAGTGGCTCAGCACCAGACACCAGACCAGGATAATGTCGTCCCTCTGGTCCCACTGTGAAGTGTTTCTCACACCGTGAAGGCTTCTAGAAAATACCTATTTGCATGCTAATGGTGGGGTTTGTAATCTGTTCAAAAGGGGCTAATAGTTCTGTCAACTTCATGACTTTTTCTTTGTTGTGCAAAACAATTCATCCTATTATGATGCAAATGATAGATCCTGGGTTTTAACCTCTGAAGCTACTTCATCTGAGTGCCTGGAGTTTTTATTGTCCTTAACGGAGCCTCACTCTCAGGCTATTTAGGGCAGGATTTTTCAGGCTTGGTTTAATTAAAGAAAATTAAATTATAATAATCAACCCCCCAAAACCAAACACACTTCTCCCCAAAACAACAAAAAGACCCTCCAAAACAAAATATCCCCAAACAAAAACAAATCCCCTGAATCCCCCCAAATGATCAAAAAAACCCCAAACCAAACGCACACATCCCCCCAAAATCACCAAAGTCGGCTTGATATTTTTACCACATTATAACATTACGAGTGATTGACTCCCATTGACTTGACTAATGCCAGTGTAACTTCAGGGCAGTAGCAGAGACTCAGGGTCTGTATGAGATAAAACATTTTTATTATCAGATAACTGATGTGGTAGCAGAAAAAAACACATGATCGTAGCTGAAATCTGCAAAAGGCTCATTATCTGGGCCTTAAAGGCTGATGTCTGTTCAAACCAGTGAGGATATTTTACTATGTTTTGCTTTCTGATTTCTCTACTCTTGCTTAAAATATGTTTAGATGATCATTTCAGTTGAAACGATCCAATTTCGATTTCCATTTCTCTTCAGGACATTACGGCACAAGCCCATAAATTTTGATGGTTAACTTTTGTCGAATTGAAATTTAAAATACTGGGACAGCTTGAGAGTCTAAATCTCATTTTCACCCTGGTTTTGAATAAATAAATAAATAAATAAATTGTTTTCCCTGTGAATGAACATGGTTGAATGAGCTAAGCGATGCATTTCCATCTTTGATAGCAAGATCTTTGTTTCTTTATTGTTACTGCTCTTCACAGTTCCTAATTCCCTTTAGAGGCATCCAGCCTCACGGACTGCTTCAGCTCCTAAGGGATTAATTAAAAATTAAATTAAAAAATTTGATCATATGGTCATTGTAGAGAGGCTGTAGGAGGAAACACTTCTTTGACCAATATTGCCTTGACTGATGGATATTCACCCAATCTCACCTGAAGGGGTATAATCAGGTCCATGCTTTTGTCCTGCTGCAATGCAAAATAAACTTGCTTTGTTCATGCCACTGCCTGACTTTACAATAGACAAACCATGTAAGACATAACCAGCTGCTGTGTCTAAATACAGTAGGTGAGACTGAGGTCTGAGGGGCAGCAAAAAACTGACCAGCACAGTGGCTTTTTGAACTGTTGTGACATCACTAGTGGTCACTGATCAGTTGTTGATTTTTCACAGTATCAGCAATATGCGTTTAACCAGGCATTAGAACTCAAAATTATGAATCCAGATCTCGGCAGGCTGGAGAAGTGTGCCAGCTGAAACTTCTCAAAGTTCAAGAAAGCAGATGCAAAGCCCTGCCACTGATAACGGATCAACTGGGTGATGACTGGGTAGAAACCAGCTTTGAAGAAAAGAACTTAAGGGTCCTAGGGGATGTGTTGAACACAAGTCATAATGTGCTCGTGTCTTGATGAAGGCTAAGCACATACTGAACACTGTTCTTGTGTAGGAAGCAGTTTGAGGGAAGCATTTTTTCCCCCTCTCCTCTGCACTCAGGACTCTGTCTCTAGAGTACTGTGTCCAGTTTGGGGCTCTTCAGTACAAAAAAAGTCATTGATAAACTAGAGGGGCTCCAGCAGGGCACGGATCAACTGGGTGATGACTGGGTAGAAACCAGCTTTGAAGAAAAGAACTTAAGGGTCCTAGGGGATGTGTTGAACACGAGTCATAATATGCTTGTGTCTTGATGAAGGCTAAGCACATACTGAACAGTGTTATTGTGTAGGAAGCAGTTTGAGGGAAGCATCTTTTTCCCCTCTCCTCTGTACTCAAGACACTGTCTCTGGAGTACTGTGTCTAGTTTGGGGCTCTTCAGTGCAAAAACAGTCATTGATAAACTAGAGGGACTCCAGCGGGGGATGAAAAAGATGATTAGGAGACTGGACCATGCAACACATGAGGAGAAGCTCAGCCGGTTTAGAGGTCTGAAAAAGAGAAAGCTAAAGGGAAGCCTGGTTACTGTCTTCAGCTACTAATGGGTGACTGAGCAGAAGACAGTGCCAGACTCTTCAGAAGTGTGTAGTTACAGGATGAGAGGTAGTGGACACAAGTGACAGTGAAGGACATTCCCTCTAGATAAAAGGAAATTTTGACGTTGAGGTAGGTGGAACACAGGAAAAGATGGTGGACTGTTCATGGTTGCAGATATTAAGTGACAGTGAAGGACATTCCCTCTAGATAGAAGGAAAATTTCACATTCATTCCTGGAACACAGGAAAAGATGGTGGACAAAAATCCACTAGTCAAGAACCTGAGATATCTCATTTAACCTTGAAGTTGGATCTAACTTTGCAGTGAGTCTTGGTCTGAGCAGAGACTTGGACCAGATGCCTTTCCAAGGGTTTCTTCCTAAATCATTTTGTGGTTTTGTCTTTCATAAAATTGAGAGGTCTGAGCAGAGACTTGGACCAGATGCCTTTCTAAGGGTTTCTTTTGACCTAAATTATTTTGTGGTTTTATCCTTCATAAAATTGAGAGACACACTGATTCTTCTGACAATTAATCTCTCTATTCTACTTTGCCTCTTGCCATTCCTTTTAAATCTGGTAATTTTGTTAATTTTTAAAATGGTGGAGGTGCTGAAAACCAAGTCACTTGGGAATAAATTCTGTGCGTTTCTTTTTGTGCCTAACAAAGGTACAGATCTCGGGAAAAATATCACTGTTAAAACTTGGCTCTTCCATGACAAAATGAGCACGGACCCAGGGTATTCACATCCGTTCAGTGATCTGCTCTGCCTAAGCAGCACTTGAAGAGCAGAGAGGCTTTGAGTTGATGATCTCATCCTTCTGGTCCAGCTTTAACGTTATAGTTAAGCCAGTGTACACTATGGCATTGCAACCCTTTCCCTGAAGAAAAATATTTAGACTCATTGCTTTGAATGGATTTATGGGACATAAATCCCTGAAATTTTAAGCGTGATCTGGGCCTAATTCCGTTGTTCTGATTTTTAGAAAAAAAGCGGGTTGATTTAATATTAAGCCAGTGTACACTATGGCATTGCAACCTTTCCCTGAAGAAAAATCTTTCAACTCTTTGCTTTGAATGGATTTATGGGACAAGGCTGTGAACATCCCTGAAATTTTAAGCGTGACCTGGGCCTAATTCTGTTGTTCTGATTTTTAGAAAAAAAAAGCGGGTTGATTTAATGTAATTTGTTTTCAAGCCATATGGCCATATTACTAGTCATTCCCTCAGAGTCCATCACTCATTGTGTATGTATCTGATTACAAAAGGAGAAAAATTGATTACTAAACCAGTATTATACATGCTCCCTGGTTATTGGACTCAACTCCTTAAAAATATATAAATAACAAATTGTAAAAGTCTGAATGTGTATGTGGCCATAACTATGCAGAGTGAAAGAAACAGTTCCTCAGTAATAAAAAGATCCAGTGATCTTTCTGTAGTTTATTTCAGTTAAAACTCTGATACTCCAGTCTCTTTATATCAGGTAGTAAAATCCTGACTGTGAAATATATACTGTTTAAATCATTCTCGTATGTCAAAGAGCACCTTCAGAGCTGATATATAGCTTTGTCTGCTCCACGGCCCTTCAAGTACTACACTAAAACACGTTCTTTTTTGTGTTGCAGAACGTGGGAAGAAGGGAAAGTTCTCATTTTCGATGACTCTTTCGAACATGAAGTGTGGCAGGATGCTGCAAATTATCGCCTGATATTCATCGTGGATGTGTGGCACCCGGAGTTAACAGCACAACAGAGACGCACCCTTCCTGCTATTTAAGGGGTTCCTTCTAATGTGCGGAGCAGAGGAGCTTTAACTCCTTTGGAGTATGCCAATAATTTATCCAGCATACAAAAAATACTAGTATTAAAAAGGTTAGAAGAGATGAAGATGGCATTCTACAATCACAGAGGACTTGATTTAGGGAAAAAAAGAAAAAAAAAAAAGGAAAAAAAGAAGAAAAAAAAAAAAGCCATATTTTGTTTCATACTGACAGAGCACTGATATGTATTGTTTTTCTGGCTGCAAGTTGGAAAATGCAAAACTTGTCAGCCAAAGGGCAATAGGTCTGGATTTTCAAAACTGAGGAATGTGCAGATGTTTTTGTTGTGCCTGTGTTGTGGGTACAAAACCAGCCAGTCGGTCACCTGCCCGGCCCTGTTCAGGCACCAGACTTGCAGTTCCATGTCCAGTAATTACTTCCCAGGTTTTTTATATCTGGGAAGCAACGTGTAAGATATTTATAAACATATGCACACAACCAACTTTGAAAATCAGCATGCAGTTGTGATGTTAGCTGCTTCAGGCAAAGAACATGTCCCTATGTTATCAACTGTAGATAATGTGAATGGGTTACGTGTGTTTTGTATTTTTTCTACCTGAGTAACTGTATTTTTCTAGCATAATTATGAACAAATCTTTAATCAACCACTATTTTTTAAAAAAAACAATATATATGTAAGTGCATCTCTAGCTATCAGCAGGAGGAAAACACTATATATGAAGAGATTTCATTTTTGCCAGCTGTGGCCTTCTCTTGCCTTCCTGGAAATGCCAACAGAAACTTGCATAATCAGCTGCTTAGTGAGGCTTTGTTCTTCTGAAACAAAATAGTTCTCTTAGTTAGCAGGCAACCTTCAGTTTGATAATGTGATTTTGGAAGATATTGAGCAAATGTGACATCTGTAGGCTCAGAGCTTAAAGTGCGTGACAGTTTTTAGGATTACATGGTGCACTACTGTTTCTCCTGTTGTTGCAAAAGCTTGTGCTGTGATATCTGTTTTCTACCCTGCAAGAGTCTGGGGCACCTCCTTCCAGGGGTTCCTTCTAGGCAGCCCTTGGGTGGTCATTCAAAAAAAAATAATGAAGAGTTTCTTGTGCTTTGGGCAGAAGGACAAGGTCTAACTTGGTTTCCTGCCGGAATGCAGCACAGACAAAGAGCTTCAGGTTATTAACTTGTATTAACTTCTGCTGCTGGCGTCCTACAGAGTGCTAGAACGATCGTTTAATTGACCTAATGGCATTTTCCTTGTCTTGGAATGACATAATGCTGAAGTAGTCTTCTCCCAGCGCTGTTTACAGTACGCTCTGTATCTGCCATACAGAATTTACTGCATGGTAAGACGGCCTAGTTTTGAGAAAGAAAACTGGTTGGATGTCAAGGCAGCCATCTGGCCTTCTGGGTCTGTACTGTTTAATGGGAGATGGATGGTGCAGGACCCTTCACCGTTAACTTCACAGAACACTAAAAGGGAAGAGAGACCTGAGGTTGCACCCATTACGTTTACAGCTATGGCTGGCTGTTGTCTACTGGCCTGCAGAACCAACTGGGTGTAGATGGGTGTGCCAGGATGCCCAGGGCTCATCAGGAGCGGTGGCATCATTATTGAGGGGTGGGAGAGGCAAACACTAAGCAAGGAGATGTTGAGGTCACTTAGTCTCCACAGCTTCGGCTTGGTTGTCTAAAAGATGCTCAACAGTCACCTTATCTGTTTAATGCTCGGTGGTTTTGCACTACAGAGACCACCTCGTGGTACCACAGTGCCCTGACCAGAATGCCACATTTGCTGAAGCAAAATGTAGATAAGAGCTTTGCATTCCCATGAACTGAATGCTTTTCAGATTTTGTATTTTACTAGGTAATTAAGTCTTGTAATGCCGTGTAACACGTGGTGATTGCACCATAAATTAGTGTAACCAGTTTCTGGAGGTGTGCACTTTAATTTCCTTTTTGACTATTAAACTGATAAAACCCTCGCTGATCAAGGGTCAGTTTTAGACAGCTGTGATAATTAGGCTTTAATATGTTGTCCGTATCAAAAACTAACACCGAGACTGTACACAGTATACAGGAAAGTAACAGTTCTCAGTTCATCATCATGAAAACTCAAAAGATTTATATGGCTCACACTTAAGAAAATATAAAACTACTCCTGGGGATCTTTAGGAAAATCATGTGCAAAACTGGAAATAAGGTACTCGTTATGGGGGCGGGGAGGGGAATCATAGTAAAAAGGGGTTTTTTGAATCTTCTGGTAGTTGTTTAGTCAGAAGTTGTATTTTGTATCTCTGAAAAGTGATCAAGCAATACAAATTATAAACTACTTTGTAATTCTCTAAAATAAAGACACAGTTTGTAAAGAAAGAATCAAGAGCTGTTTAAAACCAAAATTTGTGGTTTAGGAACATTTTTATTAATGTTGCATTTTAGTTTCTGTAGCTCAGAGTAAACAGTAAAGGAGGAGTAAAAGCTTTGGAGCTTTATCTATAAAAATCCATGCCGTCCTTCAGACTTTTTTCATTGTTCCTTTGAAGTCTCATACTTTATCTTTTCTGACTGCGATTGGCAAATAGATAAAATTGGCAAATAGGTACAAGTTAATCTACCCAAGCTGTGTGTGTGCCAGAGCAGCACTGTGTATTAAATTGTGCCGTGACATATTGGCCATTTAAACTCTAAGTGCCTCAGATATGACAAGGTGTATTACGAACAGCTCCTGCAACAATGAAGTGAATCTCCTCTCTGCCTACCTGTCAAGGAGCTGAGAGCATATCTTTTTGTTAGGTACAGTTATTGGGTTAGCTCTTTACATGGGGAGGACAGATATAAAGCAAACTACAGAAATTATGCAGTGAATAAGTGGTGTATTATTTTAGGTATTCCTGTTTGCCAACCAGTATTTCATCTTGAAAAAGCTTTTCGACAATGGAAGTGCCAATGGAAGAAGTGAATGGAAATGTTTTTAAATGGAGAACAATTGCAATTTAAATATTTTTTTTTTCTTTAGATTTATTTACAGATGGGAAATGACAGAGAAGGGCAATATAGTCTCCCGTTTGTAAGGCAGTATTTACATGTCATGATGTTAGGAGGGGGATTCCTCCTGTAGTTACCTTGCTTGCAAGCACAGAGTCTGTATAAGATCCCACAGTAAAATACAGGCATCATACAGTTATATACAAGGAATCATATGTATTTATTCATGTCGAAGCTAAAGAAAATAAATAATTCTAATCCTCTGTGAGGTTTAATCCTCAAGGACTAGATTCCAGTGATATTTGCACTTCTTGGGCAGAACAAGTCCCACTTGAATGAACAGTGATTGTAACAGGTCATCACAGAGGTTCAGTGGCGGTGGAGGCAAGTGTATTAACAGAGAAAAAATCATAAACCAAAGTATTTCTTCATTAATGCTGCAGTATAATAGCCAGTGTCTGTCTTGTCTGTTTCATTTTTTTTATGTTCTGCTTTAAGCAAGCTCACTGTGACAATTCCAAACATCTGTGAGTCTTCATGAGCCCAGGGACAAGGAAGGACTTGTGTCCTGTTACCGGGAGTAGACATCCTAGTGGTGGTAAAGCCAGGGGAGAGGGAATGGAAGAAATCCCAAAGATAAATGGGCTCAGTAGTCTTGTTTGTTTCTATAAGCTTCTGCTTCTTTTTCTACTCCTGTATTGCCTTGCTGGGACCATCCACTGCCTTAAGGACCTCCCTCTCTATCGTGGAGGCCAGGCTTTGTGTCAATGACATGCTGCTGCAGGAGATGGTTAGTCTGAATGAGGCTGTTTTGTACAAATACTAGGGGGTAAATCCCAGGTGTGTTGATAGGATCTGGCAGGGATGTCCTTCCCGCCCTGTACAGGCATAAAAAGTTGTAGATCAAAGCGGTATTATGTCAATCCATCTGTCTGGGTTGACCGTCTCCAGATGAAACTGTATCATCACTTCAGACACGATGATGAACGTGTCATCACTTCAGTGTATCACTTATGAATTCAGTGGATGTTCCAGAGGCACTTTAAATAAACTGCTGTGCCTGTTATCATCTCATTTTATAGATACGGTTTACACTGCTACCTTTGGTATGTTGTTGCCAACTGCTTGTTCTAGTAGGTTGTCAATGTATGGCAGTTTAATTGAAGACGGAAGGGTGTGTACAGTGGTTGTAACCATTTTAGGAAATAAAGTCACTGCACAAGCAATTTGATAACAATTTTTCTTTTATTTCTTTAATCTGGTTTCTGTTTCAATGAAGGGATGGGAGTCTCTTTGCAGCTAGAGTACATAGAGAAATAACAAACTGATCTTTGGCATTTCAGTTCTCCTATTCTTCCACATTTCCTTCTAGCAGAAGCTTGTCCTGAAGAATTGATTCTAAGTTTTCCTTTTTCATTTTAACCATGGCCTGCATCATCCGCAATCAGCATACCCTTCTGGTTCCACCTTTCACTGACTGCAGGAGGGAAGGGGGTAAATAGCTCTGCAGAGCTTTCATTTGCAATTGTGACCTAAATGAAACAATCGGGATTGAACCATTAATAACTGGTGAATGTGTCCGATGGGTCTCCCTAGCACCCCCCCTTCACACACACACACACACACCCCTAATGGGCTCCGGAATTGCCTGTGGAAAAAACCCCACGTCGTTAAAATTAAATAATTGCATTTCAAATTGTGTGCTCCTGCTGCCCACACAACTGATTCCACTCCGCTGACAGTTTCATAAGGGCTTCAAAAGTTAAGAATTATTTTTGCTAGATACTGAAATAAGTGACCCCTTAGAAGCAGCATGGATGAGGCAGTCACAAATTGTCACGTTGAATGGCATTATGCTGGCACTGATTTATTTTTTTTTATTTTTTTTTTTTTAATGCAAAATCCTTCTGTAAAATTTGAGCAATAGATGCTGCTATTTCTGCCCTCTGAGCCAGACTAAACTGTTAGTTACAGTGCAAAGTTTAAATGTGAGATGCATTTCTTTAAAACACATGTAACTTTCGCTTCTATAAAGCAGAGCATCCCTGCTGGAGGCTTCAGGGAAAAGTTCTGCTGACACACCCTGGTTCCTTTAAACAGAGAATGCAGTCCCATCATTTCCAATATTTTAATGTCATAAGTCAAAAAAAAAAAAAAAAAAAGAAAGAAATTCTTTGTATACGGACAGATTCCTGCGTCAATAGAAATGTCTCAGTTTTTGTTCAGCATCGGCTGCGCAGACAGATGGCTGGTGACAGTTATTACTTGGTGAAGAAACATGAAGGACTTGTTCTCAAGCAAAACACGTATGTGTGTGTGTGTGTGTGGTGTGCTCTGTGGGTTTCTGCTACGGTGGAAGTCTGTTAATGTATCGGCGTGTGTTCGGCGCCCGGGAGCTCAGTCGAGAGCCAGCAGCGGTTGGGTGTTCTCACTTTCCCCCTGGTCTTCATGTTTCAGTGTGCCGGCTTCCACCACGGACTGGGACCTGGAAAAAAGAAGACACACACGCTAACAAAGGCTGTTGCAAGAGCACTCACCTTCCTGGAGTCCCTTTGCATCATTTCTTGATTTTTTGCTTTTGTACATTGTGGAAGTCTGTTAATGTATCGGCGTGTGTTCGGCGCCCGGGAGCTCAGTCGAGAGCCAGCAGCGGTTGGGTGTTCTCGCTTTCCCCCTGGTCTTCATGTTTCAGTGTGCCGGCTTCCACCACGGACTGGGACCTGGAAAAAAGAAGACACACACGCTAACAAAGGCTGTTGCAAGAGCACTCACCTTCCTGGAGTCCCTTTGCATCATTTCTTGATTTTTTGCTTTTGTACATTTTCATAGAATCATAGAAAGGTTTGGGTTGGAAGGGACCGTAAAGATCATGGAGTTCCAACCCCCCTGCCCTGGGCAGGGACACCACCCACTAGACCAGGTTGCTCCAAGCCCCATCCAGCCTGGCCTTGAACCCCTCCAGGGATGGGGCAGCCACAGCTTCTCTGGGCAACCTGTTCCAATCACAGAATTCTCGGAGTTGGAAGGGACCTCTAGAGATGATCTAGTCCAACTCCCCTGCCAAAGCAGGATTGCCCAGAGCACATCACTCAGGGCTGCATCAAGGTGGGTCTTGAAAATCTCCAGAGAAGGGGACTCCACACCCTCCCTGGGCAGCCTATTCGAGGGCTCTGGCACCCTCACTGTAAAGAAGTTTTTCCTCATATTTGAATGGAACTTCCCATGTTCCAGCTTGCGCCCGTTGCCCCTCGTCCTATCACTGGAAACCACTGGAAAGAGTCTGACTCCAATTCCTTTCCAATTCCTTTCTTTCTCCAATTTCTTTCTAGTATCTAAACTAAATCTCCCCTCTTTCAATTTAAAACCATTACCCCTCATCCTATTGTTCCACTCCCTGATCAAGAGTCCCTCCCCTTCTCTCCTGTAGCCCCTTTAGGGACTGGAAGGGGCTCTAAAGTCTCCTTGGAGCCTTGCCTTTTCCAGGCTGAACAACCTCAACTCCCTCAGCCTGTCTTCATAGAGGAAATTTTCACCTTTGTGGCTTTGTATCTTCTCTGTGGAACACGTAAGGAATTTGAGAAGCGTTCCTTTGAATACAAACAAGGATGTGACTCATTGCATGGCTCAAATGCTTTCCAAATATTTGGAAAGTCAACTTCGGACAGTCACTTATTGACTCTCCATAATGCTGAACACGCTCAGCAACTTAAAGGCCTGATTTTTAGATACCATGAGATCTGTTGATCCTTAACGCCTTCCTAGGCAAAACTGCTTGTGCCACTCCTTACTGGAATGCTTTGCAGAAGCAAAGTCATTTATTTGTACAAGTGCTTGCAGGAGTGAGGCTCAGCTCATGCTTGTTACAAACCTCGAGAAAGACAAGTAGATAAATCACATTTTACTGATGTAGGAGTTTAAGGGGCAGAAGTTTCATGAGTTACCCAAGACCAATGAAGAAGCCAGAATTAATACGCCAATGAGGGAGCTTCTGGTGTGCCTAGTCCTGCAATTTATCTTTATCTCCTTGCCTACACTTCTGAAGGAGAACTTTATTGACAGATAGCCCATTTTGAATTCATTTCTGTCTTCAAGGTGGGAAGCATAGCTTATCTTTTGCTGCTAATGGACAAAAAAAACCATCCAACAAGTAAAAAATGAGTAAACACTAGAGAAAGTGGAGCATCACGATTTCTTGCAGTGACAAAACTGAATGAGCTTAAACTAGTGGGAAAAATTCAAGACTACTGCAATTTCTGAGCTCTGTGCGCTCCACTGTTTGCTCACTGAGCTATGGAAGGAGGAACTGATGAGTTTAATGTTATTTGTTATCCTCCATTTTCTCTGGTTTGGGCCAGGAGTTCCCTCCCAGGCTGGAGTGGGCAATAAGCTTTAGAGCAATATCATCCTGTGAATTGAGAACTTTTAAAAAGTGAACTAAAAGTGAAGTAGGGTTAGAATCATCCAGCCCCAGCATTTGCACAGTATGGTTTTAAAGAGCCAGTTTTCTCAGGGATAGCTTTTAGAATTAGGGTGAGCTCTCATTCTCTACAGGATGGGTTTGTAGTTCCCAGTTGTTCATCATGGTAACCTTAGTTTAAGCCTTAGCTATTTCATGATATCTAATATCACCTCCCTTTTGATAAGAATCATTAATAAATTGCATCCTTTGGTACTGCGGCACTTGATCAGGACTGAATATCATGACTGTGAATAACTTGTATGATTAGTTTTCTTATGCCTGGAGCTTTCATTAAAGCATAATAAAAAATTTTCATTAAAAAAAAAACCTCCAAAGAGAGAGATAACAAAAATGGATGCTCAATGGGAAGATTTTATGCCAAGATTTTAAAAGAAAATATATTTGCTCAAATGTTTTCTCTGTGTATTTTTTACAATAATGTGACACGCATAATGTTTATGACTGCATTTTAATATAGAAAAGCAGCTGATTCAGGAGATTATGCAAAATGGCAGTTCTGGTATGTGGCAGGAAAAACTAATCATGTGCCTTTGAAACTGATACAGGATGGATTCAAATCCCAGCGTCAACAGGTTTTTATTTTCTTTTCTGGACTATCAGATTACATTTTTATTAAATAGTACCTGATTTAATATTTGAGATCCATTGCAGTCTTTGTCAGCAGACAGTGGAAAGTTTCTGCTCTCGGTCAAATGTGAAAATTCTCACAATTTTGCCTTTTGTGATCACTGCTGATTAGCTCTGCTCTCATCTCGTTACACCCAAAACAATTCTTGCTCCTGTAACAGCAAGATGCTGGGTTCTCCCCCATACTGCTACTCAGATGCACGCCAGGATGGGAGCATCATAATCCCAAAGTCCGTGTGCAGGTCCCATGCTGTTACTCCTCCCATGGAGCCAAAAGAGCCAGAGCATCAAGTAAATGACTTGCAGCCCACCTGAGCTCCACATTCAAGGTGCCAAAAGATTCAAATGCTCTGCCCAGCCCTTCTAAATAATGTGAAGAGAGGGCCAACTGAGATTTTAGTATCTGCCAAGTTCTGCAGCAACAATCTCTTTCCTTTTTCTGCTAGAAACTGCTTAGCCCTCTGTCCTAAAACCCGCAGTTCAAGCATCTATCTGAAGGACAGAGTAGTAATTTGAACAATCACCAGTATTTTCTAAGACACTAAAATAAAGCACTTGCTGTTGTGTTTGGATTTCCATTTTCCAAATGCATCAATGTTCTGTTTAGTGAGAAAGGTTTTCAGTGTTGTTTTTAACTTAATTTTTATGTAGGAAAAAAAGAAAATTACTCAATTCTCAACATGATTCTAAAATCCTTTTTTCATATTCTTCCTTTATGGTAAATAGTAAAAATGTAGATGCTCAGAAAAACATTCTGGCAATATACATCAATACAGCTCACAACTGAATGTGGTAACTCAACATGAGAGATATGTTTTACTGGTCTAGAACATACTGGAATATGTGTTCTATGACTATATTTAATGACAGAGAAAAGATGATTTGTAATAGGCCACTATTGAAAATGCAGAAACCATTTTTGACTGACTAGTAACTGGGTTTTGCGGCCATAGAAATGGATATAAGACAAACACTTCTTGAAAGAATACACCCTATATTTGTGCATCCAACACAAATTCAGTTCAAGGAAAGCTGCCGTGTTCTCTGCATGTGCAAGTTTACACAGTATTTAGGGGGGTTTGTACACTGACCCCAGTATCGAAGCTAGGATTAAGACCAGTTTCTGTTTTAAATGCCCGTTTTAACTCCATTAACATTTTTTCAGGGGACATTACAATGATGTTTCAAATTTTTAAGTAGAATCTGATCGTGGCTCTTGAAAGGTGTTTGGGTATCTGACTCCACCTGAAGCTGCTATTGAAAATAAACTGTAGTCAAGCACCAAAGTACTTTTGCCCCGACTAGTCGGTGTAATTGGTATTAAGCCTTGGCCCTGTAAAAGCTGTGGATGCTGTTCTGTCCGTGCCCTGTGTCACACAAAAGTTCATGGCACCAGAAAAAAGCATATTTTTTTTTGGTCCCTTTCAAGTCAATGATGTCCATAGACTTTCCTAGCCCAGTTTCCAATGCTAGATGACCTTGCTTAGGAGAGCAAAATGAAAACGGAAAGGGAAATGAATTCTCAGTCTCAGTCCCGAAGCCTAGATACCATTTGAGCGTGCTCCATTTAAAGTGTCAATCAAACCCCCCATCGGTTGTTTTACTGTTCAGCAAGAGGATTTGGAAGCCTGGAAAATCAACATTGTCCCGCTGTTTCTCCAGCAGGTCAGCCATATATTTCAGATGACAGCACTGCATAGGTATGTACATCAGTATCTAAGAGAGCAGATGGCTTTATGTGTGTGGTCGTTTTAATGCAACCACCTCAAATCCAGTCAAAAACCATGTAAAAAGACGGCATGCAGGCCTTCTAGCTCCACTGACTTTGGAAGGCTCTTGTCAGAGTCCAGCTGAATCAGCTCACAGCAATTGATGCCCGTGGGGTATCAGTTTTGTTTCCCATAAAAGATAAAATAGCAAAATTCTGCACTGAGCTAAGGGTAATTGCCAGTGTATCACGTCATGCTTGCCTTAAAAGACATCTTCCCATTCCCTGAGCCCTCATTTGATGCTTTTCATCATGGCAATGCTGATTGTGCTGCAGCCCCGAGGAGCGAGGACGTATTACATTTGTGCAGGGCTTCCTTTGGGGGGTTTTGTGGAGAAAAGAGGAGGGTGGCATGGTTTTTTTTTCCCCAAATGCAGAAAGTTTCAAGCTCTCAGTGACACACTGCAGCCAATCAATCTGACCACATCGTGTGACTCTATTCATCTACCTCTCACCTCCCATCTGCTCATTTCCCTCTAATTCCTTTCCCGTTCCACCAGCACCCCAGGGCTGTTCATCTCCCAATTTTTCATTCCCTTTGCAGAACATAATAAGCATTTTTTTTTTTTTTTAAATCACACCCGTGAATTGTTGTATTGATGAGATCTGTCTTTCCCTGCCCTCCTCCCTCCCCACCCAAGGAGGGTGCAGCACCCCAGGGTGTGCTCTGCAGCTTCTGCACTGGTGCTGGCTTCATAGCTGCACCGGGTTGTGCCACAGAGATCCCGGAGGGGCAGCTTTGGAACACCAACCATGGACAGGCTGCTGCGCTTCCCAAATGGGAGCTGGCTTTATGGCACCATGGCAGCAGTGGCCATCTTTCTCCCTGGTGGTTAGCATGTCCT